ATGAACGTCACGCTTATTTGCATGTGCGTTTATCTTATCCGAACTAATATTTCATAACGTGAAAGCTTTAATTTTACACCTCACCTGAGATGCCTATATGTCAACCGGGCAACGCAAACAGCAGCAACCGAACAATGCTAGGAGAAACAAACTGAGTAAAAGTACGACCAAACGAGGAGCAGGGAGAAGTAGAACCAGCAGACAAAGTGCATGCGTGCTTTCAATCCCCAATATTTCATTTATACTCGTTGGATTTTTTGGTTTAAAATTGGGGTTTATAAAGGTAAGTTTTCTGGTCTAGTATACGTATAAACTAGCGATCGTTAAATTCAGGAATTCATTTTCTATGATGGCCTGGTAAAATTGGCAATCTAAGGTAACTTCGCACAACTATAGAGTCAACTAATTTCCAGATTACGTCCAAATACGAAAAATAACCATGCAAGCTGACGTTCTTTTTACATTTTAAAGCCTGACCTGCCACGTTTAAAGAATGAAGAGAATTCGACAAGGTTCTTCTTCTAAAGACTCCTTTAAAAGCTTAATTGCATTGCGTTTCAGATTGACTATATAAGAAAGCAATATTTTTAAAGGTTGAAACAGAGCTGTCATCAATATATATTATTTGCGAAAATATGTTTTTCTGACGTAAACGCGGATCGCTTTTCTCTAAGAGATGACATCAAAAACATCTGTCCCTCATTATACACTTTCCTCAAATTTGTGTTCAAGTCTGCTTTCTTTTGTTTGACTTTGAATTTCATCACATCTTCTACACCTAAATTTCTAGAATGAAATTCAATTATTTATAAGTTGCAAATAAGTACATGACGTTTTCGGTGCGGTACTCCATGGGAGAAATTAGAATTTTTACCTTTTTTCAAACACCTCGTTGGTCTCCCAACGCCATCAAACAAACCTATTAAATTAGCAAAGAAGATTTAGGCTGTCAATCAAAAGTTTAAATCGGAACGAAAGGTAGGATATTATTTTTAAAAATATAATATTCGGTGGGTAAAAGCTTCCAAATTAGATAGATAACTCTTTTTTTCCGATAACACTTATAATGAACCTTTCAAATACATGAGGTATAATTTATCTACAGGCATTTTTGAAGAAAGCAAACTCTTACGAGTGTAGCAAATTTAGAAGCCTTCGGCAATACATCTTTTTTTGGCTGAGCCCTTGGGTTTACTCACCATTGGCTGAAACGATACTCGATTCGATGCCCGAGTTGTTGTGATGTCTATTTATTAATTAACGCATTAGTGGTCATGGAAAAGCATTAAAACTTTACATAAATGTTTCCTTGAAAGTTTTTCCATTACTCCCTCCGACAAGTCTACATCTTGTTTGGGTACCCGGTACGCTCTTGGGCTGAAAGAGATGCATCGTAAGTAACTACTAGAGTCTCCCAGAAAGAAAGCTTTGAGCACAATCTTTCCATAAAGTTGTTTGTAATTGGTAGAACAAAGAAATCGGGCGGAGAAGATTATACGGAAAGGAGAAGAAGGAAAAACAACAACTATTTCATTCTACAGAAAGTCAATGATGGTTATGGCTACATGATATGCTTATGACGTTATCAGAATTTTCGCATTCAAACTCCTATACCACCACTTTTTTTTCACTTATTTTCGACCATAAACGAGTTTATTTTAGCCCTCCGGAACAGTCACCACAACCCATTTTTGACGCAGTTGATAAGAGGCAAGGACTCATGAATCATTTTCCCGCTTAAGCAATATTAAAACGTTTCCTGTGGGAGTATTTTGATCCCTTAGGAGAAAGCGTACATGACACGAACGTTTTTGTGAAGTTATAAACTGTACGTGAAAGGAAACGGGTGGTAAAATTCGGATTTCCACAGCGCCTTATCCCGAGAAACCTGTTTGTGATCGGAAATTGATATTCATAAACTCTGAAAATTGTAGCAAAGCAAATAATCAATTTTCTGCTCAGAGTTTGATATAATATTGAGAGGGCGATAGACACTTTAAGTGCTTTTGATGTTGATTGTGCTTTGACTTCGATAATAACTTTCTCTTTTAGCAACTCGGGTATATATTTCACAGCGTCTGATATTCTACTTTAAATACTCCATTGATAACAAAACTACTACTGCCATAACTTAAGAATCACACAATTTTACCCGCGTCAATCCTAACTTTATAAAGCAACGCCAATTTCCATTAGAGGAGTCTTGGAGCGCAGGTGAGTCATGCAAATGCGGCCGCTGCACGAAAAAATGGATTTTCACCATATTTGCTCAGTGCAAATCTAAAAAAATTTGGTGCAAACATATAGCAAATATAAAGCGAGGGTGGTAAATGCCACATTTGCCCATACATTTGCACCGGGTACCAAATGTATGAGCAAATGTGGCATTTACCACCATTGCTCTGTATTTGCTATATATGTTTGCACCAAATTTGCACAGATTTGCACTGCGCAAATATGATGTAAATCCGTTTTTTCGTGCAGAACTGATTGGCTGTCATTACAAAAGATACCCAGTAAGATCGTTAGAATAAAACCAGGCGAACTCCATAATTCACCTTAATGATCTCTGCTTTTATGAAAGCCGGCTAGCCTTAGATGCACTTGGGTCTGATTATAAATAATTTATCTGTTTTGTTTTGTCTAAACCTTTAATTTCCCACTCACGAGAARTACTGTGTGGTGGATGTCCTCCCCTGCGGTGGGATGGGTGGGTGTTCACAGGGCCCCATTTAAACTAGCTATCTGCTAAACTGGGCTACCCTGTATAAATATTCGTAAATACATAAATACATAACTGTGGGAACTACGATGTGACACAGCAAATCACATCAATGACTAAACTCAACGTTTTGACTCTGTATGCCGTCGTGGAAAATTCTTAACAGCTCGTACTTAAATTCATGGACAAACAGAACTGCATTTTACAGCTTCCATATTATTTCAAGTATAAATTTATTCCAGTTGATAAAACTCTTCGAAAAAATATCACTTCCCTTTCCGTGCACGGGAAGCAAATGCCAAGGAGCATGGCAGCCGCTAAAATCAGGTTATTTTTGATTTTCCAGCTCTTAACTGGATATTGCCTACCGATATTTCCACGACTTTTACGACATGTGTGGGGTTGAAATTTTAACCATGGTTCAAAATTTAAAATGTGTGAACATGCATATTTGTGTACTTGTTGATAGAAAATTCGTGATACTATTGAGAATAGCTTTCAATTTCGCAAAAACCATTACGGATGATTAAGTAATATTAGTATCGAATGTATTGACAAGGTCTTTCTGTCTCGTCTAGAAAATTCTATATTATACACCGAATGCAAATATGGAGTCCAATTTGAATTGCCATTGTTCTGGAATGAGTAGCCTCTCACACATGTAATAATCCTTTTGTGTTTCCACGTGAAGACGAGGCTAGTCAGTCCAGAACAATGGCAATTCAAATTGGACGCCATATTTGCATTCGGTGTATTAGCATAGTCAGTTTCCTGTTGGCCATCATGCGACGACCTCTTCCGCAAAAACGAAGGGGGCTGAGCATACGTAATTTGATATAAAATAGGAAACAAACAGGGATCTATAATTAAAAATGAGAGGGTATACTTTTTATTTATCGACATGGCGTTAATTAAAAGACCTAAAGGAGTAATATATAGACAGCTTCCACTTTCCACTTAATCCAGGGAGATACATAAGCATGACATCTTCGCTTCTCGAAACGTATTTTTCAAATGGCCATGAGATCCTTCATCTACTGTAACTTATAAAAATTTGCGTAGCATTCTTTCCTGGTTTAGCGCCGAAAAAGTGTTTACTGTTTCAATTCATTGGAAGATGAAACTATTATAATCCATACCAAATGATAGTGTGGATTAAACATATTTTATACTTTTGGGAGCTTTCCAAAAGACGATTTTATTGTGTTCATGAAATATCGTCGACAAACCCATCCGGCGCACATGCATACGTTTGCCTAACGAGCACTGGTGAGAATTGTTCAGTTATTTACTCATAAAATGAATGTTTAATTAATCAATATGTGTTGTCTTTTAACCACGCAGGCGGTGTAAACTAAAATCACGTTTTGATTGGAAGAAAGCATTCATAAATCTCTCGAAAGTCTACAAGAAAAACGCGTCGGTTCTAAAGTCAAGACCAACTGTAATGGCCAGGAAGAGACTCGGGTTTTTTTTGCTTCTACCCCTAATCTTTTCACAATGTGAAGCTAAAGAAACACTTTACATCGGAGGACTGTTTGGTATCGACACAAGTCGCGGTGGATGGAACTCGGCAGGAATCATTCCCGCCGTTCAGATGGCTATCGACGAAATAAACAACAACAACGAGGTTCTTAAGGATTATCACCTAAAACTTTTGATCAAGGATTCTGAGGTTGGTAGACTTTAAAGGAGACAACTTCATTCAGAGAAACCATAAGAAGCTTTTTAAATTCAAATCCTTTGTTAATAATGATAGGTTTTTTTCTCTGAATGAGCCTCTGTTTCGCAATCTGAATCCTTAAAACAGTTCACAAATTATTGTAATAATCCGATGTAGTGAAGTAACCTTTAAATTTATGGAAGAAACTTTTTCCACTTTGTTCCTCTGAGAGTAAGGTATAAAAATAATGTATGCACAAGAATAAGCAGTTCGTTTACACATTTCGAGATGTTCGTGGCACCCAAGGAAACAGTTCATGTATTCATGTCCCAACACCTACACAAGTATTGTTAGCACAGCTTGGACTGAAACTTCACTTGATGTTTGCGTAACCAATTGCAATTAGGCATCAACGAACATTTCTACGTGCCAAGGTCATTCTTGTTTATAATTTTGATCGGCACTGCAACGCAAAAGTGCCTATTTTCGCGATCACTTCGAAAAATTCAATTTCAGTCTAGGAAAGTTCGTTTAGTCAGTTTAACACTCTACTTGAACAACCAACGTCCGGAAAAGCAAGGGATTTGAAGAATCTTTAAATCAATGAGTTTGTCATATTAATTAAGGTTCACTAGTAATTGATCATGAAATGACACTTTTAACTTCCATAATTGATTTAGGGGTAGATCAGATTAATTTCAGCATTGATTTGGACTTTTAATATTTTTAACGTAACACTCAGTGCAATGTTGGCGAGGCTGTCCGCAGAACTTTGGAGTACATATCATCTGGGAAACCCAAAATCATGTTTCTAGGCCCTGGATGCTCTAAAGCTGCAATGCCAGTGGCGGAGGCCATTCACTACTGGAACATTGTACATGTAAGTGCTCACATCTGCAATGTTAAGATCAGGATTAACCACATGACTGACATTTTTAATGGTGCTGGGGAAAAATAAAGATCATTGAATGAAAGATTACGACAGCTCGTTATCGGAACAATAAATCATGCTCTCTAACTGGTTTTCATTAATTAACAGGTTTTTGACGAATATTTTACAACTTGCAATTAGCGATATAAGAGTACAAACCTGTTGAGAACTTAACTTGGAAAGAAACCTTTTTTCCTCGGAATTGTTTTCAAATGAAAGTAAATCGACACAACGTAGGGTTTTTTCTTTCTAAATAAACCTTTCGTTAAGAATACAAAAATCTATAAGACTAGTGAAACTATCCATAACGATTCCTGTCTTCAATAAAGAATGTAAAATAAATAAAAGGTGATTCAAAAAACACATAATGAACAAGAAACAAACAAAACTGAGAAAAAAAGCAGAAGCTTTATTTAAATTTTATTCTTCCTTAGATTGGCTTCTCAAATTCTTCCCCGTTCCTATCGTCAAAAGACGTGTTTCCCCTTTACTTTCGAATCAACCCCTCAGAGACGTTCTCCAATCTGGGGCGAATTGCGATTCTCAGACGATTCAACTGGAAGAAAGTTGCCATCCTACAACAAAACAACGACGTTTTCACAGGAATCAGTAACTCTCTAGTTGATTTGCTGAGCGCTGCTAATCTAACCGTCCTTGCCTACGAGAGTTACAAAGATCATCCAAAGTTAGCCATAGAGAACCTGAAGGTAAACTATCGAAAGTTTCGTTCTGTTTTCACAAGTCACTTCACTGCTCGGCGATCAAACAATGAACCCTTTATTCCCATGGTCCCTTTGGAATGAATATCATATCGATTTATTGAAGACGATAAAGAAATTCACTCTGATAATCCTGGTAATTATATGTAAGTGAGGTTATTTTTGTCGACTTTCAATTCCTCAGCGGGTTATAGCATCAAGTTTACACAACTGTTGTTTTGCATCCTCAGAAGAAAGATGTCCGTATCATCTTTGCGTTTTTCTATCCAGATCAGCATTATGTCACATTTTGTGAGGTAAGGGCTTAAAGTAAGAAAATGTTATCACCAATTAAACGATCGCCAGTATGGAAAGAACCCATACTTTCATTTACGATGTAGCCAGAAGGGAGGCATGCCATGATGAACGAGTGATCATGAATGACTGAAAAAGAAAAGAATGGCAAACTTAAAATGAACTGGAGGGTCTGACAGACTCTGTGTAACAAAATTAAGGTCTAGTTGCAAGATTATAAAATGTTCACGCATACCTTAACGCTGAAACACAAAATACGACTATTACAACGAAATTACATTACATTTGTCAAACATTGATAACCGTTTCACGCGTAAATCTTGAACTATTTTCTGCGTCTGAATTACAATCTACAGGCCTTTAAGCAAGGTATGTATGGACCGAAATATGTGTGGATTTTGATCTCTGGTCGAAATCAGGACAATTGGTGGAAAATACAAAGTCCTCTTGTGGATTGTACTCCGGAGGAAGTACGAAAAGGCCTAAGTAACAACATCGGAACTGGAGAAATAAAACTCAGTCCTCTCTCGGGACCAACAAAATTTGGAAAGGTATCTAACATAAGACATAGTCAAATCGTCGCCTCTCACTCTTTCAGTTGAGGGAACCCCAGAAACAGGCGATTATTTCACGTTTTTTTAGAATATGTACACTGATCAGTTGACGACAAATCTTCCAAACCAGAGGAAAGCTTTGACCTTCTTATAACTTTAAATTTTTTCATTGTTCAGTTATATGACCAAGACTTTACTACTACCCACGTTAAAATAATTCTTTAACGAGAAGCCTCTATTTGAACTTTTTGATCTGAACAGAAACCTCACATAGAGTTTAAACTAAGTTTATTTCGTTGAACCCTCCAGAATTACTGAACAGCTTATCTAGGTGTTTGTAGTAGTGGTTGAAAATTATCATGATTAACGAGTATGAGGTTTTGTGTTAAAGCAAATTAACTAGATATCTCCTCGTGCTGTCATTTTTTGTCAATTTTCCCAGACGCCCCAAGAACTCTACGCTGATTATCTACAACGCCTCAGCAACTCGGGATATTCAGAAAATACGTTTGCTTCTTATGGATACGACGCGGCCTGGGCATGTGCAATGACTCTCAACGCATCGATTGATGTCTTGGAAAAACAGAACTTCAAACTGAATGAATTCAACTACAGCCTTCCTAACGTGAGCAAAGTCTTTGTCCACATAATGAAGAGAATGTCATTCGCTGGAATGACAGTAAGTTGCACTCAATCTCGATGGCTATGTTAACAATGTGTGGTTGCTGTTTTGAAGGAAAAGCCTCTCTATATATTATCGGATCTCAACTCTTCAATTTATTTGTAGGGTCAGGTGAAGTTCGACAGCAATCATGACCGTATAACAAAACTGGAGGTCCGACAAATACAAGGCAAGTACTGACTCTGTGACAAAAATGTTGACGCCCGTTCTCTTATCACGCCCTGTTAGATGTCTTTGGTAATTCCTTAATATCTGATCTTTTGATCTTTTAAAAGCTGAGTTTGTCTCGTCTTGTAGGAAACACCGAACGCAGAGTTGCTTTCTACGACATGGAAAATGACACTTATGAAGAGGATAACAATAGTAATTACTTGTGGGACGGTAAAATTCATTTTACACATGCATTTCCGCAGGAGCCCATTGCTTGGCCCCTTGTTACCTTTCTAACTAAAACTAAGTGTTTTCTTCTTGAGAATCTTTTTCATTGAACTCAAAACTTTAATTAGTTCTTCAAGGAGAAAAATGGTATTGAAAATGCAAAGTGTCATCCGCGCTAAGACCTTTCTTAATACATCATCTACAGAGAAAACAACATTTCTATCTTTTATCTTAGCGAAGGAAGAGAGGTGACACACTACGATCACGTGATTATATGTGTCATTATCTAGTTTGATAGATGGATGTACAAAAACCTTACCTTCCGATCCAGATATGCCGTGCCCCTCTTTCTCATCAGAGTGATTAAAATATATTCCTTTTTTTTTTGGCATGTTAAGGTGGCAAAGTCCCCGTCGATGGTCTAAGAATAAAAGAAAAGCTGGAAGGAGTTGATTCAGGGGTGTTGTGGTTTGTTATCGTTGTATCAATTCTCGGAGTTCTGATGGCCATCGGATTCCTCATATTCAATGTATACAACCAAAATATCAGGTACCTGTCTCATAGTTTTTTTTTTTTTTAGATGAGTAGATTCCCAGGTCAGCTTAAAAAAATACATTTATTTATTTAAAGACTAGCAAAAACTAACGATAAAAACCGACGTTTCGGTGTCATCATGACGCCATTGTCAAGGAGAAANACTAAAACAGTGAGATAATATACACCACCGTCGTTAATTTGAGTGATTTCTTCGCTTGTCACGGATGCAAACCGGGACGCCATTTTTTCCCGAGTTGCTCGGAGGTAAATAGCAAAGGATATACGGAGTTTGACTAGCCAATCAGAGTGCGCCTTCAACGCCATCCACTGTTTTAGTATATACTAAAAGAAATTATTACCAACTAAAGAAGCTCTTCATTGTTAAACAGATTCTCCTGGTTAGCACCTTTGGAAATGTAGGGAGAACGGCATGGGAAATAAAGACATACGGATGTTTTGAAAGGTGTAAAAGGTTGATATTGTGGCACAGAGCAGGCTCAACAATTAATATATCAGGAAAAAGGAAGCTGGACCATTATCTAGACTTAAGAGTCATCGATAAAATTGTTTTGCTTTATTTTTCTCCCTTCCTTAGGTACATTAAAATGTCGTCACCTAATCTTAATAACCTGATTATAGTCGGTTGCATACATGTCTATGTGGCGGGTGTACTGTTTGGCTTAAACAAAGAACAAGCAAGTTATTTGTGCCAGGTAAAAACGTTTTCTTCCTCAAAATAATCAACCAGGTCTTGATTTTTGGCCATGGGAGATTGCAGTTCTTGGTTTATCACAATTTCATCAGTAGACCACAATATCTGAGCTTCGTATTGTAAACCTAGCCACGGTTTTTCGAAGGTTGGATAGTCATAATCAGTGAATAAATCCCTATCCGGTTGACAACGTACTAAGTTTTGCTATCACTTATTCTGTGGACAGCGATTTATCCAACTCTATACAACTGGGCCCTGATCTTTATCGTGGAATCAGTTAACAAAGCAGTTCCTGGAGGCACTTTTTTGTAATGCACCAATGAAATGTTCTAGAAGAGGAGTATTTTATCGACTATACCATCTCACATCATTTGAACTTAGGGAGATGTAGGAGAGCTAAACAAAGATGGTGGACTGAACTTTCTCATGGACATATCAAACTTTGCCTATTGTTATGGTTTGACCGTTTGAAGACAATGGCTGTATTGTTCGTTATCCTCTGGCACCTTTTCATCGGATGGATTAAATCGTACTCAGCAAGAATCGAGTTCAGGCGATAATTTTTTCGGTAGAGGAGCTTTTGCCTAAGGGTGGCATCTTTAGGCAAAACTGTAGCTCAAGAGGTTTGAAGACAAAATTTGGGCTGGGGGGGAGGGAAAGGTGTTTGATTGCCACTGAACAAAGGATCGTGCTGACTTCAAAGTCTAGGTTGTTAGGACCTGAGTTAAACAGTTAATAAAAAAGTATTAATCGGAACTATTTTATCCTCAGTTGGAGTTATGGATTGTCGTGATTGGATTCAGCTTAGGCTTTGGAGCGATGTTGAGCAAAACCTGGAGAGTTCATGTAATATTTCTCAATACTAAAACTGCGAAAAGGGTTAGTCTGTACTGAACACATTCTTCTAAGGTTTGCTCTTAATCTAGCGTTTTGACAGCATCTTATATTAGTTATTTCTATTGTTATCTTTGCAAGACAAGCTTTTTACTTGTTCCAGGTTTATTTTTTGTTTTTCTTATTATCAAATGCCATTTCACCTAATTGCCCTTAGGACAACTGAGCTACCGAGGATTGAATAACGATAAACTTTGAACGTTGCACATAGATGCAATGATTTTTACAGCGTACGAAGACAGACAGAGAGAAAAAAATAACGTAAAAGCAAACGGATGAGCAGGATAAATAATAAACAATGAAAAACAGTCAGCCACAGGTTCAGATGGATAGAAAGATAGATACATAGATGATTGATGGATAGATAGATGCAACTGTAAGATAGCGAAATCTTCATTTCCAAAGATGCTCAAAAGTGATTTGTTCTCAATAATTTCCCGTCAGGTTATCATACGGGACCGTCAGTTGTTTGGCATGGTTGCTGTTCTTCTTTTAATCGATTTCATAATTCTCGTCACGTGGCAGATTGTCGACCCAGTGACAAGCAAAGTGGAAAACTTGACGTTGCAGGTAAAGGGCAAAACTTTTAATCAGTTCGTGAAATTTTGATAGCTTTTATTCGCCTCTCTAGAGGGACCTCTTAAGGTATGTTAGCAGGATGGTAAAAATCGTTGCCATTCCAAAAACCTAAGTTTTTTTGTTATTTTATATATTTTCTGCACGAATGGAATGGATAGACTCTCTTTTACCGATTCCTGGAAAATTTAAGACGGCAAAAGACGTTTTGGCCGGCTAATATAGCACTTAATAGTGCACACAAATCTTCTAAAAGTCGTGGAATGTTAAGAGTTCGTTTTGGCTAAAGTACCTTGAAACTTTTCAAATAACATTCTTATTGTTCCTACAGGTATCACTGGAAGATGACACTGGCATACAACCGTACATAACCATGTGTACCTGCGATAACATAACGATTTGGCTAGCTTGCATTTATGTGCATAAAGGTAATAATGAGAGAATCTCAAGAAGTTGACGGAAGACCCCCACGTATCTTGCATTGTGATTCTGGGGATTCGTTAATCAAAGCTTATTTGGAGAGTGATGTGTGTTTGTCTGGGAGATGATCAGTGTAAGACACTGATCCTCAAAAAATCCCTCTTTACACTTCAGAGGATATTAGCTTCTACAGTCATGCGCAGTAAACACACCAAACAATTTTCTTCCCGGGACCAGACGATTTTATTGTCTGTCGTTTCTTCAAGGAGCTAAAGTTGGACAAAATAAAGTTAAATAAAGTTATTCGAGTGTTAACAACCATGCAAATTTGCATCTAGCACGCAATGTGAGGCATGTTAGCAACTGCTCATAAATGGAATCACTAATCTATTAAATATACCGATTCACTGAGATTTATCTCATCACTAGATTAGAGGACAACCGCAAAAAATAAGGACATTGTATACGGCGAACCAACTCGTACTAATTATTTACTAATCAACGTGAAGTTCACCTCATTGTTTTCTCTGTTTAGGCCTGTTGTTATTATTTGGAGCCTATTTGGCTTGGGAAACCCGCAAAGTGCATATTCCCGCTTTAAATGACAGCAAGCTGATTGGCTTGTCCGTCTATAACGTCATCATTCCTTGTATCCTCGTCATTCCTATTCTTGGTGTTGTCGCTGACCGACCTACTGTCCAGTTTGGGTTGTCCTCGTTCCTTACCATCTTCTGTACTTCATTTACTTTGGGTCTTGTTTTCGTTCCAAAGGTTAGTTTAATAATTGTTGAGAACTAAGCTTCAAGTTTTGCCATGATGAACACGTTTGCTTCTTTCGCCAATTTGCACAACTGAGAAACATATATAGGAAATTAAACATCCCTATGGGTAAGTTTTCGTGTCGTCTTTAGTGCGTGACACAAGCGAAATATAATTTGTTCCATAATAGTCGAGGCCTCAACTGTATGTGCTCACAGTGATGCTCAGCGAAGCTGGGCAAAATTGTACTATTGCCCGGCATGATAATGACGTTTATTTTTTAAAACTTGAGACTTAAGTAATATGGTTTGTTTATTGCAGATAATGTTTTTAAGAACCGCAGACGGTAACAGTGTTTCAACCGCCACCGGTTTAACCATAGAAGGTGGACAAATGTCCACAAAGGTGAAAATACAACTAGCAAAAATAGATAAAGTAAAGTAATCCCTTTAATCTTCTTTCTGTCCAGGTAAATAAAGTAGACACGAACAATGAAAGCATTTATTTTTAGGCATTTTTAATACTATGGCGTGCCGCTTCTAAGATACAAAAATGTTGTTAGTGGAAGCAAAACCTTGTTCGCACGTGGAATAACATGAACGAACCGTACAAGAGATGATTGTTTGCTTTCTTTTTTTCTCATTTCATTTATTGCGATCACCTCGGTCCAAAGGAAAATTTCCTTTTTTTTTACTGACAGTGTCGTGCTTTTTAGGTGGAACCAAAACATGCTTCCAAAGCAAGCGAGGAGGACGCAAGAGAAACAGAAGAATGACTTATCATGTGAGAGTTAAGAGAAACAAGAGTCTTAGAACAGTATAAAAAATCATGTTTGACTCAATAGCAGTTGCTATTCTTCGTGAAAAATGTTTCTTGGAAAATTTCTTAAAATGAGCTGAGTTAAGAATTTCTCTTGCTTCAAGAAGTGCATGGGAGAAAAGAAATGATAAGTCTTGGTGCCTGACACTTGTTTAACTCTCGTAAGAAATTTAAGCTGTATTAAATTAAAGCGCTAAGCAGCGGAAACAAGCCAACAAAACAAAAATGTTTCATTGATTATCTCTTGTTTCATTTGGAGACATGGTAATACTTTCATAGACTACTACGACTTTAGAATAGAATACTACGGTAATAACCAGTCGAGTGCAATACTGGAAGAGGTTCGTATTCACCCAGGACTTGCAGATGCCACTGTTAAAGTCTACTAAAGACTAAAAAATCAACTATTCTGAGCAAAAGACAAATTATTTCTTAAAATGAAGTGGAAGCTTCCCTTCCACTGTAAAAAGACCCTAAACTTAACGAGGAATGTAAAGTAGAAGTACCAATGCAGTCTTTCAAAGCAGATTTTGTATTATGTATTTATCAATTGTCCATTAGGATGTTTGGAAATAAAGTCATATTCCTCAACATCCGCGTCTCTTATCTTTCCTACTAAGACTAACCCAATCCTTCATTATTTAATGTAATCTTTTCTCCATTCTCCCCACAAGCGTATTTAGAAATAAGGAGCGAACTATAACGCAAGGATAATCGATTAGAGAGATGTGATTCTTCTGAAAGTAACAAAATAAAGAGCAAGCTGTATTGAGCAGAAAGATTCAAACTGGTGATAAAGGGCCGGCCCGTTATTAACACCTTTAGCTAGTAATTAAATTGTACAAAAAAATGTTTGTTTACGTTCCAACCTTTTTGTGTGTATTGAGTTCGGCGATGCAATTCAAGTTCAAAAATATTAATTCAAATGAAACTATGGCATGCGGTTTGGTTTTGGCAAATTGCTCATTGCATGGTGAGTTAAAAAGGAATTATCATCACAACACGCATAAATCCAAAAAATGGAACTTTACAAAGTATACAATTAAATATAAACAGTGCAGAACTACGGGTAAGAAATCGAAAGAAAGTCTGTCAGCAAAATAAAGAGAAGGGAAATCATTGAGTTTGTCAATTTGATCTATGGGAGAATTTCATTATATATTTAGCCAATTGTCAGCTTCAATCTTGCTCTGTGGTCTCAGTTATTCAGCTTTTTCAACGGATCTATTTACAGAAAATTGCCCAAACAGTATCATGACTGAAAGAAACAAACTTCTATACAAATCTGATTCAGGCACTTTTATCTTGCTAATTGGCACTTATACAGTTGGGATAACACTAGTATGAAAGGAGATAAACTCAATTGTTTTACGATATTTTGATTGGTGTTCGTCTCCTCCAGTTGGTTCAATATTTACAGGAACAGGTGAGTGTGCGGCAAGTGAGCATGAGTTCAAAGCTGCGAGTAAGGAGAATCTGATTATTTAAACAGCCACTACGCAGTTAAAGCAAACCACAATCAGTGAAGTTATTCAAAAGCTAACTGTTACGGAGCTTTGTTTTTTTTTTTTCAACATGGTCTCTCTCTTTTTCGTGCTTTTAATTTCTTCCTCGCTGGGAATCCCAGTGTTGAAGGAAAAAAGAGAAAAACGAGGTAAAGAAGTAGTCATTAAGATGACCTGTTTTTATTTGGCGTACGTTTGCATGAAATTAAAATGAATTTGGGGAAGGCAAATTAATGTTTTTAAACCAAATGAGCAGTAAACGGTTGAGTGTTTAAGTTTTACCTATACCTACATGTCAGGTTGTCGGTTTTCAAATTTTGAATTTTTATCAAGTTTATGACTTACAATACGTGAAAATTGCCTATTTTTAAAGGTTTCTTTGGGTTTGGAAGATTTGAAGGAGACATGATGTTATCCAAGCAGCAGATCGAAGCAGCAGAGCACGGCCTCGATCCAACTAATTTAGGAGGAGCCCGTGGATTGAAACGCTCCGCTCAGTGGCCTGGTGGACTGGTTCCCTATACCATACATTCGAGCGCGAGTACGCAGCTTATGTATGTCACTTTATAAATCTTATTAACCAAGCGCGAGGGCCGATATTCTTCCAGTACGGTCCCGAGCAAGCTTGGTTAATAAGAAATTTATTATACGACTGAAGTTCAAAGGGACACAAGTGCGGTATCATTCGGGACCATTCGGGACAGTGCCCGGTCCAATACTTAGAGAATATTGACCGGCAATAGAGCATTTTGATTGGTTGATTTTAGTTATTGGCCCTCTGACTGCCCGAGTCGTGTAATAAAACTTAATATTTTGTCCTKCCATGGCGTAGGATTTCACTGAATATACTTGCAAAACTCGCCATCGCTTCGCAGTTTACTCGCCCACTAAAAATGTAATGGTTACTAGATTTTTTTCCGTTCTGGCAGTACGAAAACATTAGAATAATTGCATGGAAATACGTTAAAAAAAATTTAATGACATCTATCAGGAGAAAGTGATGGCTCTTCTATCTGTTTAAATTAGTTTATAAAAAATGCAATGACATCTGTCAAGAGAAAGTAATGGCTCTTCTAGTTGTTTAAATTAGTTTATAACGCATTTCTAAATGAAATCATAAAAGATATCACATAGCTGTATTTATTAGATGTTATTAAGTTCAGTAGAATAGTGACTTTTTATCATTTATGTGATGTTCATAAATCTCTCATTTACGATTCAGAAAACAAATTTCTTAATGCACTTGGAATAAAGGGACCAACTGAGAGAGTAATATATAGTGCCATGAAAGAATGGGAAGAGAAAACTTGCATTCGATTCGTACCCAGGACTACCCAGAAAGATTACGTAGAGTTTTTCGCCGGAGAAGGGTAAGATCTTACTGTTGCTAAGGTTTTTCCGTCAACTTGCTTGTTTTACACGCATTCAAAAACTTAAAATTTTGAATGTAGATTAACTATATAATCTAAATGAACCAACTTGAAATCAGTTCAAGTTAGGCTTAGTCCATACTTTAATTTGTTTTGTTTCCTAAACATTACGACTCAAAATTTGATGGAGTTTAATGATGTTCTTTGCCACTGACGACTATAAGCTGGTTCTCTATTAAGAAAAACCTTGTCCCTTATTAGGTGTTGCATATCGAGATTCACGTCTAACTTGAGAGATGACATTAACGAAATGCTCGGCAAGAGAATTGGAGTAAACACGAGGACTTATACTTTTCTCGGTTTTATTAAGAAGTCTTTGAGGAGACCAACTCCATGATACTAGCATTAGGAAAGCTATGTCAGTTTTTTTATTGTACAACTCTGTAAAAAAGCGTTTTGATAACTGAATGTTTTCCTTCTTGTAGATGCTGGTCATATTTCGGAAATCTAAAAAACGGGAAACAGCAAATTTCAATCGGTAGTCTATGTTACTTCCACGGCATCGCGTTGCACGAGATTGGTCACGCTCTTGGTGGGTATAATATGGTTACTCCAACTAAAATGATTTAGAGACGAGCTGAGTCTTGTATTAGACCTAGGCCATTGTCTATGAGATATATTGTTGAGAAGGACTCGTCCCCGCTGTAAATCGCAAGTGTTTCTGGATTTTATGATAAGGATGGGGTTGCTGATGGGTATAGGAGGTAAAAAACATCCCCTTGGGGAGAGGGGACAGCAACACTCTCTAAACGCTAAAAAGTTATGAATTATAAGACGCTTTTAAAGATTGAAAAATCATGCTTTTTTCCTCGGTCTAATGGTAGAGATTATTTTTGATCATCAAGTCTTTCGTAGTGGATTTACATGAAATTGCGAATTGCGAATTCATTCATCGAGTTTTTAAACTACATACATGTTTTGCAGGATTCTGGCACGAACAGAGTCGCCCGGACCGAGACGATTATGTTGAAATCGTTTGGCATAACATACAGCCAGGTAACTAGAGAGCCGAAATTGATGGGATAGCTGTATAACTTATATCCAATTATAATTTACTTGTTGCTGTTAAGACTTTCGAGCTTTGTCGATGTTTTTTTGCGGGAAGGATTTTATATCAGCACAGCTTTGCTGGATGCGTTGAGCAGGGTTTTCTTTTCAACAGCTAAATAATAATCAATTCAGCTTGTTCAATCTCTGATAAGTGGCTAATTTTTTTTTTTTTTTACTGTATTTCTTCAGAGAACAAGCATAACTTTAATAAGTATGGTCACGGTTCCGTCGATAGCTTGGGCGTTCCGTATGACTACGGATCCATAATGCACTACGGTAAGCGAGATTTTGCTCGCTGGCCTTGGCAGACCACCATAAGACCAAAGAAATCGAGGGTGTCTATCGGTCAGCGAAGTCACCTCAGTTCACTGGATGTTAAGCAAATGAATCTCTATTACAAGTGTAACACCAGAAAATAAAGCCAGTCGGACGTGTTATCGTCATATAATACATGAACTTTGATCAAAGAGTAAATAAATAAATGAACTTAAAGCATTCGTATTTGCACTCTCTTTCGCTGTAGCTGACACAGTGTGCGGCAATCGATCCATCGAAATTACGAAATAGAACGGGCAGCCGAGCATCACACCAGCATTCAGAATGAATAAAACATTGAATGAAAAGCCTATAAAATTTTTTCTTAATCTGTAATGCCTTCTAATGTGGTTGGTAACGTTCCGAATGCATATTACAGCCAGTTTTCTTTAACCTTCTAACCAATCATAGCACATCATACATGCGTGACTTCTTTGCCTGGAGAAGCCAACAATACGCTGTCGAAACAACGATTCACTTCAAAAGTGACAAAGGTAATGCTTTATATTAGATAATCACTCATACATCATACCAAAAGAATACTGGAAAGCAGCCTCAATTTAAGATTTTTATTGATCATCATTTCAAGGGGGCCTTTTTTCTTTTGTTGATCCAGCCTTTGAGTGCAACGCACTGATGAAAAAAGGAAAAAACAACAACAAGATCGTGTTAAAAGAAACAGTAGTCGAAATATGAAAATGGTATCGTAAGCACGAATCACCGCACCACTCGAGAGCATTTGCTATGATAACTCTCCGATTCCCCTCTAAGGTCATTTTATGATGATGATGATGATGATTGCAATTATTATCATTGTTAGAGGTAGTATTGAAGCAAGTAACAGCAGCAGTATTATTAGTAGTAATAGCAGTTAGTAGCGGTAGTAGTAGTAGTAGTAGTAGTAGTAGAAGTACTAGTAGTTTTAGTAATAAGATTTTATTGAGATGATACTGCGTCATTGAAAAGTTTTGACCGATGCAGAAAGTTAAGTTTAGAATACATGAGAAGGGATAAAAGTTTGACTAAAATACGACTTGATGCCTTACCGACTTATTTCTTGTTGCAGTTGGATAGCTTGTTCATCTGTTTCTTACCCAACGTGCTAAGATGTCTCCGCTGACCGATTTTTACCCGCTTTGCTTTGGCTCAATGGTAACTTTCCATGGAGGCCAGGCCAATTCACGCTTACTATGGTGCATTATGGAATTGTACTCATACGGGATTCCCAGCCTGTCGATTACCTAATGACTGTATTTGTTGAAGTTGTGTTTACTTCCTAGGAAATGATATGGAGGCACAATAAGATGAATGAACGCTTGAACAGAAGCGTAAATGGTCACAATTAGCAGGTCTTCAATTTGTTTAAGCTAATTTTAGTACGTGTTCTTGCGGTGCGACTACTTTAAGAACAACAGTTGATGAAATTTTATGTGTGATGTTTGGCGGCCTGCGGTTTATCATGATCATCACCAGAAATCGGGGACATTTCGAGCCCGTTACGAAATGTCAGCGGTATATCGTATTACCGACAATTCAATATGGCAGCGGTAGAAGTGAAGTGAAACACATAACTTTCTATTTTCGCAAAACTCCATGAGTGAAAGGCCGAATTTACGAATTTACGAATTTATGAATTTATTTAGCTGAGTGTTGGTCCGGCCGGGGCTCGAACCCTCGACCTCCCGCACAACAGTCCAGCGCTCTATCCATTGAGCTAAACGGGAGGCGGCCTGGTACCTTTGCATCTCAGAAACCCAAAGGAGACGTCAAAACAAGGAAAATGGCGGCTAAATTCTGCAGTTACTGGGACTTGTATCTTTCGTGTTCTTCCTTCCTAAAATTGGGGTATTTAAAAATGGCGTATTTGGCTTTTGAGCTCTGTAAAAATACGAAGAGTTTCCTGGCTCGAGGAAAATTTGTAGGCCAACATATTTGACCGTCTACGAGCGATTTAGCTGAGCAAACTTCTGCATAATGTATATTGATCTACGCAGTTGCCAATCTTTACAAGGTTGTTCCCCCGACAAAAGAATTATAACACCTAGTCGAAGCAGATTTTAAGAGTTTGTGTGGGAAAATGGAGTCAGAATTATAGTTTACTCGTTATACCCTGGGAAAAGGTAGGCTTGAATTTGAGTACTTCTTCTTTGTAGCGATGGAAGCTTTAATTAACCCGGCGATGCAGGCTGCATTTCCAAGTACGCAACGAAAGAATATCCCATTCTTAGACAGCTATTTGAAAACACGATCTTTTCCCATACAATTTCTTATACTGGTTCGGCGCCATTTTGCTTGTAACACGAGAACCGCCTACACCAATGATATTGTCCCAAATTTCTTGCAATGGTAATATGAGAATTTTTCCTCCTCGACTGTGTTCAATACCGTGTTACTGCTATTCATTTGAGGATAACTGAACATTAAAAATGGTTAATTGATTATCAAAAAATACAAGAACAACAACGAACCTCTCTTTTCACGGTCATCATGTTCCACAGGTGACCCAAACGTCAACGTACATAAAACGATAAGGAAAGAAAATGATAAAATCATTTTGATGGACCCTCTCCAGAGAAATGCGATGCCTAAATTGAAGCGAGAAACCTCTTTGTGATCCAAGGCCGGCTTGCTGGAAGAATTTGTTTTAATATTTCTTTATATGAGAACGAAACTAAACATAATCTCTGTTGTTTATCGAATTTGGTGAAGCTTTACTACATGGGTAGGCCCAAATATACAAAGGAAACACTTAGCAACAAAAAAAAACCGCCAGGAGCAAACAGTTGAGTAAATTATCCTTAGAAATGCCACAAATAGGGAAAACAACTGGATAAAAATTCGGCTTTTTTTAACTTAACTAGCAGAGACCATCCTCTTTGGACAGTATAATATTAAAATAAAAAAAACTTAGACGCCTAGAAGAGAAAAACGGTTTGCACAACATGCAGATGAAAAGTGTGAGCTGAGTTGCGTTATCTGCTCAAAAGCGCAGCAATAACTTAAGCAATGGTTAGATTTTCAAACGCAACTGCCACAAAAAGTAACACCTTAACTTGCAAAGACTCGAAAAACACCTGCATAAATGACTGAATACGGCAAACCATAAACCTTCTCTTGGAACCTTATTTGCACCTACCTTGCAAATATCGGCTTCGTTTGAATCCTCCGTGCACGTATGTTAGAAGTTGACTTTATCATCTTCTCTTTAGATCACTGGAAAGACAATTTTATTGAAAAACTTGCAAGTAACTTTGGGTAATAAACATTGTAAGCTGACTTGGAGTTGGTAAGATATCATTATCGAGGTGACGAATACTGTATTGAATGATCACACAATCGGTGCTCAATGACCCAGGAAGTCTGTCACCGACCTTCTCATTACGAACCGAAGTAATCTGATTGAGAACCTTTTCAGGGATTGCTAGTGATATTAACTTCTTCAACGGCCGTAAACGTAGTTCATTGGGTTATTACAAGACCTCTACCAGTGGGTTACACCAGAAGCTCTTAATTTCGGGATATCAGATTTTACTGAAATCAAGGAGACAGTGCCCACCTTCATGGAATGAGGGTGGCAAAGGTTTTGTACGTAAAAGGGTTTGTACTTAAACTTTTACTTTTATTTCATCAAAACCTCAAGACTTCCTTGCATCCCGGTCCGAGTGTACACAAGAAGAGAGATTTGAAGTTTTCCTTTTTAAATACGTGACGTGTGAATTTTCTAAAGTGCGTGCGTTAAAAGGGATCAGGACCTCTACTTTGCTACCCTCTGAGGTGTCGAGAGCTGACAAGGATAGAAATCTGATTAGGAAGGATTTGAAACGAGTACATTTTCTCAATATTTAACAATTATTCGCCTCAGGTTCGGTGAATATCGTCGAATAATCCCCGAGACGAAGTCGAGGGAATTATTCGACAATATTCACCGAACCTGAGGCGAATAATTGTTTTAGTATAATTTCAGAGCTGAACAGCAGAGAAATCTCTAAAATCATAACATTTTAGTAACATTTATTAACATTTTAGTTTAACATTTTATATAAACCGCGCGGAGCGGTTTATACAGCGTCATATAAGGAACCGCTCGACCAATTAGATTGCTGGAAACTCTTTGCTCAGCTCTGAAATTATACTAAAATCGCATATCAATGTGTTAATATCGTGAAAGTAACTGATACACCAGCCATAGTCTACATTTGGCGCGGAAATATGCGCCGACCTAATCTGTTCATATTAGCGATAAGTGTTCGACTTTCTTCGTATCGGAACGTATGGATTTTCAAAAGAGAGGAAAATCCACTAGGCAAAACCAAGGGATATTTCCAAATTTTTAGCTGAAGCTAAACCAATCACTTGACGCGTTGAAACTAATCACGTGCAAGCGAAAATGCTTTGAGTAGAACATAAGAGTGGATAGCATTGGTACAGTACATTCCAAAAGCTACACATGCGCAGGAAGTGCTTTGAGAAGTTCTTGCTCTGCACTGAAACAGAAATAAAAAGCATCTTCGCTCTTTCTCGACCAAGTGTGCTGGTGGTAATAATCTGTTACACTTCTAGGGGAGGGAGGGGCAGTAATGTGACCTTCAGGAATAGAGGATGAAGCTAAGAGATTGAATCCCACTTCAAAGGTAATCCTACGGCTTTTTTAGGACTTAGGTATCTGATCTTGGATTAAAGTTACATTTACCACGCAAGTAGCTGGAAAGTTAAGGTGGAGAACGGATAAACACCGTGTGAAAAGTCGAAGTGAGCAAATTCGCTTTGCAACTGAGCTTTATTCTGCGTCCTCCTTGGATTTTCGATTCCGATATTGATTTAAATGAAACAAGGGAGATGATCTTTGGGGTAAGGTTTATCCCTAGTTTTACTACCTCGTCTATTGCCACCGGTAAAGCGGGAAACGTCATGGTGATCATTATTAAAAATAAGGATTGAATAAAAGGTTGTCGATGTGAAAATATCTCTTGCTGTAAAATATTATCAATATTTTATTCCTGTCAATTAGCTTTTAATCTATATTTCAAAGAGAAGTCAATTTTTATTGAGAGCTAATATTATCTATTTACAGGCGTATATAGCATTCTTATTATTTAACTTCGAAATGAAGCATATGTGAATCTAAAATTGAACCTGAAATTGAAGCTAAACTTGAATCTAAAAGTTACCCAAGCTGGGACGAAATACTTATCAAGGGGAATAAAGTGAAAACAAATGCTAACGATGAAACTTGCATTAGTCCTTATGCAGTTTTTTTTTTTTTACATCAATCATACAGTAAACAAAGCCGTTAACCCTTTCCCAGCAGACAAAACCTTATAATTTGGCCATACAAAACTTAAGCTCACTTTGTTTGTCTTTATATGAAGTATCCCTTACAATATTTGCAGTTTTGTGACACCATGGGCTCAGACTTTGGGGTCACGTGACCTAGATCAACCGCTCGTGTTTGGATGCGTTCAAATCAATTCATTTTCTCGCGTTTATAAATGTTGGAGCCATTTTCCCTCTACAGAAGCCCTCAGGACAGCATCATTAAGCTGGAGTGTCAAGCCTCTAATCATTAAGCTGGAATGGCAAGCCTCTAAAAGAAAACGGAGGTGAGAGGTGGTTTCATGTAGACTGGAGCGCCAAAATGCTTTCATGCAAGTTTGGCGAGCTCACAAGTGAAGTTGTCTCTCTGGCCCATCTGTGGATGGCTACTAGGACCTACTGAGGCTTTTTGGGCCAGTTTTGAGTGGCAAAAGTCTCGGTGGATGTGATATTTCGCTGGTAGGACTGGGTGGCCCAACACGATTCTAATAATTTGTCAAAATGGAAAAGTGATGTGTTCCCTTCTCGAGTTGTGGTGGAATTTCCCAGAATTCTTTTCGGTCATAAAGGAGGCAAAGGTTGTGTTTGCGACACTAGCTTTCGTCAAACGGAGGAACAAGGGCTAGCGGATAAAGTGAGAAGGCATTTTCCAGCCAAACAGCAAGATCTGGCCCTGAGGTGTGTTTTGAATGCAAACTTTTGATTTCTTGAGCAAGTTTTGATCTTAAAAAATAGACACTTTTTCAGTGTTGCTCTTGGAGCAGAATGCTGGATTTTTGGGATTTGTTATTATATAAACGGTTCACTGCAATGGAAATCGGGAATCATTGTGGGTGTTTTAGGCTGCAATAGGTGTCACATCAAACACCCTTGCTATGTACACAGTTACATAATGTTGTCTCTTAATTTCAACAAGAAACAAATAACAGCAGTAGTCGTGCAAATTTAAAGGATGTATGCGTGGCTTCATAGAAAAGGGTTAACAAGTGAAAGTGGCTCTGATGTTTGAGTAAATGGTTATAGTTCTAGGTGTTGAATAACTGCTGTGTTAAGCTCATGAAAGCGATTTAGGACTTTCAAAAAACTAACATTAAGTTAATTTCTACATGGTGCTAAAATGGGTCCATAGATTCGTCGCAGAATGAACTTGAAAGTCTTACGAAACTCAGGTATTCTGACGCCATACACAATGGGATTGATTGAGGAATTGGAATAATGAAGAAATTTGTAAAAGATCGTCGCAGACCAACTATAGGGACACGTGGTTATGGGGCAGTACACTACTACTATAAGTGTGATGAAAAATGGAGTCCAAGCAATCAGAAAGAACCCAATGACAAAGGCAATGGTTGTGGCGGTGCGAATCTCCCTCTTAAGGGAGCGCTTACTTGGGTTGTTGTTCATCCTGGTCATGGCAATTTTCCAAATGGCTGCATACGACACAATGATGACCGTCAGCGGTAGCAGAAAGAAGACGACAAAGGTTAAAAGAACAAGGTCTTCTTTTTTGATGCTAGGGATCGTGTGTTTGATGGAAGCTGCCAAGGCTGAAATGAACCAGACCAGAAACAAGGCAATGTAGTAGACGTACTTTTTGGTGTTGCGGTGTTTCACGGCCCAACCAACACAAAAATATCGCTCCATCGAAATAGCCATGAGATGCAGAATAGAGGATATCCCTGCGAAGTTATCTAACGCTATATAGAGTTCGTTCAAGTTTCTAAACCTCAAATCCATCGGCCGTAAGTCGGCGTAGTAGTTTAAAATGTACATCCACAAGGGAACTGAAAGCGCACCCACGAAAATGTCTGCAACTGCTAAGCCCAACACAAAGTAATTTGTGACAGTACGGAGTTTGTCGTTGATGAAGAAAGCTGTTACAACCATTAGGTTGCCAAACACGGCAACGAGGGCGATAACGGTGTAAAAGAAGCAGGCCAAGATGACTGACTCCTTTGAGGGGACGCCAAATCCTCCCCCGCCCCAACCCCCTCCTGACATGGGCTGTGTGGTGTTGAGATGTGAGGTGAAGTTCGTAGTCGTGTTTGCCATTTCTATCTTCTCACCTAATCAAAAGATAAAAACGTGTCACCATGGCGTTCTTTGTATGTAAATGCATCTGAATAAATTGTCACTTACTGTTTGTTTAACAATGTTCTGGGGAGATGTTCTGAATTCAGTTCTAAAATCGATCGGGGGGGGAAAGGAATTGACAATTGATTACATTTACAAAAAAAATTAGGAATGAATCAGCTTCCCAGTGAATGGGGTAAAAAATTGATAATTACGATCATAATGTAAATAGTTACTTATCGGCGTTAAGCCTGAAAAAAGCAAAAAGAAATTTTAGCTTAGTTAAAAGCTGCACCCATCCAGTATCTTAGAGGCACGGAAGTTGCTGCGAGTTAAGGGCAGATTGCTGATTTGAAATAGCAAGAGAAACTCTGAAACAGATGACAAAAATACAATCGAACTTACAAGAATTATACATCAAAGTAACGGCAGCGTAGATCTGCCAGCGGTGCATGTCATCGGATCGACCTTCGTCAACATTATTTAGCATATTTGCTTGATGCCCTTTAATTTACTGTAACTATAAGATACGTACGGGATTCCTACTCTAGCCGATTTGTTCAGAGGATAGGCACATCACATTAATAAATAGATGGAAATTCATGTGCGGCTGCAAACGACCCACCAACTGACAATCTCAAAAGGAATAGCCACATCTTTTGGGGCAAGTGCATCGTGCTTGTTGGCTCAGGCGATCGTTAAACACCAATAGTTTCAAATAGCAACCCTAACAAAGCTCACCTGGTAGGAGGATGAAATGCAAGGGCTGCCGACTTAATCAGTTAAAACTCCGCCGCTTTTTGTGGAGATTCTGTGCGCGTACAATTTTTTGAAGGGCATAATTGATGGGAAATATTTCTAGTGGGTCAAATATCCTCAATACTTGGTGAAACTTAATGGATCATCCGAAACTGAACATGTCCAATTTATCAGATAGCCAATGAGAGCATTGTTGACAGTAGAAAGAGTAATTAGTTTTCACACCTAATAACTTTGCTTTATCATATAAGGGACAAAATTACTGAATTGTGATTGGTCAAGACAGAGGGCATTTTTTCTTAATTTTTGTAATTGCCCCGGACAAAATTACTTGAAAATGATAGGCTGAAAATCGCTTAGCAACGGCTGCCAAGGTAAAGAGATTTCTGTTTGTTTTGTAACAATGGCGTCCCGTTTTGGTCGACTCGGGCAATTTCAGCAACTTCCGAAAACACGCGTGATATTAATCCTTAATTTTACTCGGCCCCATGCGATTACTCTACTAATTTTACGGAAAATGAAAACCTTAGTGCAATAAGATTAGAATAACACAAGCCTAGAGTGTTCTGAAGTGAAAATGAACAAAAAATATCAATCACAATACGGTACAACTGCTGAGATTTTAAACATCTTTCACAAAAACTTATTTTAGCAAGATGACAACCAGAATGTACTCATTGAACGATTATAATTACGCGTTAGAGTTAAAATTTCGTTTAGAAAGTGATAAATGCTGACAAACCCCTGTTTGTACATCTCGTAATTCCCTTCTCGAATTATTTAGAAAGTAATCAAAGAAATTATACTGACGTGCATCTTTTACAATCATACAATACGAGTACATGTCACGGACCAGAGAAAACCAATCAAACATGAATATTGGACCCAGGCCATTTGCGGGGAACAGGTACCGACCAAATCAACAAACAAAACACTTAGCCAATGTTTTTTAAGAATGTCGGACGCCATTAGAAGATCTCAGCTGCTTTATTGAAATGCATTTTCTCCTTAACCCTTGTTTAGTTTCGCGCGGATTGAGGCGCTCTGATTAATAATTATCATGCAAGTTCGAAAACTTTCATTTTAACATAAATGGCGGCACATCTGACAAGTGACTTTTACAACCCATAATAAACCTGGTGTCGAGCAATTCAAAATCAAACAGGTAACACATTCAAGTCGATTTGGCAAGAGTACCATATAACCCCATACATTAATTATCCATTCAGTCTTTGTTCTATAGAAGATGATAATTTGCAAGTTTTATTTAGTCTACTTTGGAAAGTATAGTAAAATTAATATTTTTTTGGCGAGACCGTCGTCTGTTGGATCAGTTGGTGTTTTGATATCATCCAAAATAAGTCTACCTACCACCAACCGGCGTATGATACTTCCATGTGGTTAATCATAGTTCATATCGCATAAGCACGAAAGGCTGGACATTGGTAGGCAAATATTCGGTTTTCATTATATTTTCAAGGAAAGGGTGTGGGTTGCGCCAAATGTCTCAAACATGACAAAACATTGAAAAAGAAATTTCATTATCCATATTGAAAAATCATGCATTTGAAGATTAGATCTTCATTGGGTTCAAAGACTAACACGTGCTTGAAGAAATCAAAACATATCCTACACGTTTCGAAGGGGAGGAACTACATCGAGCGGATGACCATGAAGCAACTTTATAACTTGCCACACACGTTGTATGTACAAATTGTCCAAAGAAAGTGGAAATTCAACAAAATTCAGAGGAAGCAAAAACTGAGTTGTCGTCTTATAATAAATTTTTCCTTTAATTTTCGAGCCTGCCTACAATTTCTTTCGCGGCGTTGAGTTTTATTTACTTGCTGAAATACAGTGTCATTCGATGTTTGCAATTTTGAGATTCATATCTGCTTGGGCTTAGTTTAAGTTCAAAGTTCATTCCCTTGAGATATATATCTGTCGTTTCCTTTCTCTAAAGTGGAATTATGACAAATATTACAATAAGTTTTGCTTTGGAATCGGGTTTGACAGCCGGCTTATTGATATTTTGAATCACGGTCTCAATTATACGTAATCGGACAGGGAAAATGAAAGTCTAACGATTCTTGCAAATATTACAAAATGGTGAGTAGCAAAAAATATCAAAACGAAAACATCGAGAGACCCATGACTTTAAGTTTTTCTTGAATAATTCGGTTGCTGTCGTCTTGTTTTTGCGCCGGGATGTTTATATGTAGTGTGTCCTGATATTAATTAGGTTCGAAGCTAGTGCGGACTGACAAAAAAATTCTCTCTAAAAAAAAAGACTAGAACTCGTTGAAGGAAATTCCCTTAATTTTAGTTTTGCTTCAGGTTTTTTTTCCTTTTTTTTTTAAACGACCTCACGTTTTTATGTTTAGTCACTATATCTCATTAACATTTCTGTTTGCCGATGATTTAGCGTTGTTTCCAATTGACATCATTGCACTTGAAAGGAACAAACCGTCAATTTAGATTTATATTTATGGAGAAATAAAAAAGGAAAATAAAAAAATGGCCGGAAAAACCGTCTACTATTTGATTGCCTACGATCTCGATAAATATCCTCCTTACACGGTCCTAAATCTAAGTGCTCGCATGCATATATTGGTTTTTGGGCAACTCTAAAAATCCAATAAGAAAATTGCACATCCTCCGCTCATATATCACCATAAAGTACTGAATTCCCACTAAAATCCAACCGTATTTGTTCGTTGAGTTACGCGAAGAAATATTTTCACACTACTTTTATTCACGCTCACCTATGATTCTGCTTCTTTGACACTATGTCGAGAAACCTCATCATGGCGGTAAAAAAAAAAAAAATGCATAATATCACCGTTTTCGTGAACTCAGGCGTAAAGTCACTGTTTCTATGGTCACTTTCGTTCGTTAAAATTAAGCTTCATGTCTGTCTCATCATCAAATACGAATCGATCCAGAATCATCGTGTTTTTCGCATGTTATAAACTAAAAGAGAAAGCTTGCCTTTTGGGGAATGAATGCGAGAATTTGACGAGCAGTTGGTGTTTTCCCGGTGAGCCTGGAAGAGCGTGCCCTTGTGCTAAAGGAAGTAATAGTTAGTCTCCATTTCCATTACCGCTCCTTCTCTAAAAGTATATTTAGTTTAACAGTCCACAAGAATAAAAGCCTAACAGAAGTTGCCCAAGCAAAGTTTTCACCGATTGTGAATTTCCTCTGAGAATCAACTGATCAAAGCCAAATGTTATGGAAATGACAAACAAACACTCACAACAACCATGGAATGCCTCATTGTTTTGCTAACAAAAAACAAAATTGTTAAAAGACCGCTCTATACACGTATTACTTATACAGCCTAACCTTGCCATGAAGGTCTAATTTTTTTAAAGCTGATGCATTGTAATCTCGCCAGACTTTGAGTGCCATTCGAATAACATACTAAGAATTCATCGATCAGATTTTGGAAACAAAAAAAATCTTCATCGTTGAGAAACTGCATGGGTGTAAATGATCACGCTTGCGTTATTTTTTACGCTTAAAGAGAACTATATTAAGAATTGACACTACCGTGAGAACATTAGTACAATATCGAAAGCAAAAACACGATCATTGCATTTTCCAGATTAGTCGACGAATCCACATGCCTCGTCAAGATACCTTCAACTCTTCACAGAAGAGGAAAAATTCACTTGTGTATCAAAGCTTCAAAGATGCGAAAGATTTCGTCTAAGGGATTCGTCTAAGAAAAGCGTTTCCACCGCTTCGATAATTTCTCGACGCAGGTTAATGGTTTATGATCGCATTCCTTCCGTGGCGTTTTGCTTTCATAAAAGTAAATCTTTAAGTGTTTGCTCTATCACAAGCAATCACATAACGTACGCGAGCAGCTTCTTCTCTAGAACACTGACGCTACACACGAGAACAAAAACTACACACACTCACCAGGCTAATGTGAAATCACTGCACTTTGAGGGCGATTCGCGTCGCTTGTACTATTGATGGGTAATCTGTGGCTTCGTGTCTAGCTCACTCAGAACTTGGTGTCTGTTACATGGCAGAAATAATCAAACGTTGACACTAAGCAGTAACAAGTTATAGCATCTTTTTTTGCATTTTAATAAATCGCTGTCAATCAAAGCTAATAATTGCCACCTTCAAAGCAAACGTTCATCTCAAGCCAATTGAAAATTCATAAGAAATGATTGACAGAAATCCACCGCAAGCAAGAAACAATTGTGAGTAATATGTAAAAGTTCTACGGGCGTCTAGAAGATCCTTCGAACTTCATTAATGTTTAAGTTCATAAATGCCCTCTTCCGGAAATTACACTGAGAAGGAGATATTGCAGTTTAATAAGGTAGGCCCCGTGGCATTGGTGTAAACGAAGAACCGAACTTGTTTATAACAAACAAGCCAGACTCCGTATTTCATTAATCTAGTAATCATCCCCTGCAGGTAATATTTAGGCGGAAGACGAAGAGTTTTCGGATGTGGATTTTTTTATAAAGCTAGAATTAAAATAGAAGTTTATCAATAAAAAGAAAACCAATGGAATCCTCTGCCGGTAAAAAGAATATAATTAGAAGTTGATTTCATAAAAGCCCTTACTATTAGTGGGCATGGAAACTTATCGCCTTAGTTCTGAGTTCAAAGTAAAACAATGAAAAACTCTAAACTCTTGCGCTGCAAGTCTTTGTTTGACGTTATAACCGAATATTTTTAGTTAAACGTACTTTAATTAGCATGCAACGAACATCAATCCACACTGAAAGGGACACGTTGGTTTACCAAAAACAAATTATCTGTTTTCTAATTGCGGTATTTTAACTGCCTTACTGTAAGAAAAAAAAAAAATAATAAAAATAAATATATAGATAGCTATGAACTTTTTTAGTAACTTTGCAATTTTCCGGCTTTTAAAAGGAGCTGAAGATGTTAATAGCCTTTGGCCTCTGCGACAGCTACACTTATCTGCACTTAGTCCTGCTTTGGGAAAAATTAGAGGATAATCACTTACAGGATATTAGTGAGATGGTAACGGCGAAAAAGTGCCACAGTTAGGTTCTGTTTCGAGTTAGTAGTAAACAATTTCGAAAAAAATGTCATGCAATATAGAGAAATAATTGAAGTAGATTTTATGAACTAAAATTTGAACTACTCATAGCAACGTAGGTGTATCTAAACCAAGCAGTGCGTGGAGGTGCTATAAAACAGAGTCTTTAATTATTCACATTTAACACATTTTGCTTTCTGCCACCTACCTGCGTAACAAGAAAAAAACTCTTTAAAATGTCACCTTATTGTACATATAACAAAAACAGTCTATTTACTTGAAGAAATTGTAATGAAGAATGACTGTTACCTGTTAGTCAAGAAAACATTCATGAACTCAGTTTGTGGTTCAAGGTTGGTAGCTAATATGGACAGAGTTTTGGTCATTACTATTATTGGGGTATTGTTTAGTCCAAAATTCAACGGGTTTGTTTATACTTTTTGCTGCTGCGTTATTGAAATATGGTGTGAGATCCATTAAATTTTCATATGCCCCTAACATGTTGCAATGTTTGGCAACAGAAGTTACCAAGGGGGGCACTGATTCGCGAAACCGTCGAGCCCGATTTTTTCCCCTTTTTCTTTTCATGCCTCGCTTCATTTAATTACTATACTTGTAGTTTACTATCAATTAAAATACACAGTCAAGTACACGATTTGTCATTAATACACCACATGTAAAACTTTTTGAAGGGAAACAAAGCAACCGATTCTGGTGAGAGAAATAGATGATTCAATCTGTGTAATGTATGAAGGGGGTTAGTTTCTAGAAGATACTGTGGTGCTGCGTTGATTCGGGGTAGTTCAACATTATTCGGTTTAATCAACTGAGTTAATTAGGTTAATTGGCCAAGAGTTTCTAACGAAGGGCTAACGCTCGACACGTGGGCTTTGCCAATTTACATCATCAATACAGTGGATAAAATTAAATCATCTTGTTGTAGGTGGTAATGAGTTTTCTTCACTATCGTATTATCAATTTTATTGCCTCGTTTAGAAAATTTTATAGGTAGAGGAAATAAAAACAGATCCTTATCATCAGTGGGAGATTATTTTCATCCAAGTTTACAGAAGTCGCGTCTGGCTGAAAATTTTGTAAAATCAAACCACAGATGCCCTAGTAGGCATAAGTTATGGTGGAGAGACCGGAAAGAAGAAAAGGGAACTATTTTAACACTTTTTTATCGCAAGGTGATCTTTAGTTTGCGTAGGTGATCTCTAGTTTGCGTCAGTGTCACTAGTTTAACTTCCATTCATTCTTTGCGTCTGCGTAAGCTATTAGCAACGGTCATGATTTAAATTTCAGTTCACCTCAAAGACTATCATATAAATTTTCAACATCTTGATAGCTATTTTTTTTCGTTAAAACTACCGGAAAATTCTTACACGCATAAGACAGTCCCTCATGAATTAAATATTCCCTCATCATAATCCTTTGATTTAATTGTTTTCAATTATGAATTCTCTGCCAAATACTATAATTCATTCTTTCGGCGAGAAACATTGATAAACAAGAACATCACATATGTTACAATTAGCGCCAACACTGCTGTTAACTGTAACGTTGACTGATTTAAACCTTGTTTGAATGACACAAAGCAAATAATTGTTGATGTTTTTTCATGGCCTGAGTTACTGATCCCCGAAGGATGTGGAAAGTGCACGTTAACTGCTTATGGAAGAAGTGATAAATTTTTTTAGCTTGTGAAAAGCAAGACAATAAAAAAGAGTTTACCATTTGCAATTTCCCCCTTTTGTCCCTAAAACGCGCTATAAATACGTCCGTAAGGTGAATAAAATCATGAAAAAACCTGGAGTGAGCTTATTACGTGTACCTCAACTATACATTTTGCATAAGAGGCACGTACACAGTGACGTCTTTTTCGATTTTTGGTTAGACGTCGCTTTCGAACATGCATGAGTACCAATACACGCGTAATAGCGGCAATGGACATATACTCTAAACACTTACCGTGAAATCACACCTTTTTTTTTCCTTTTATTTCCAAAAAAGTCGACTTGATGAGGCAAAAATCATCATGAGGAACAAACTAAAGTAAATATAACAAAACTAAGTTGCTTGACGGCCAGGTGCTTATTACTAACTGGCAGATCGATGTGATGCTGACACAATTACGATCCATTAACAATTGTAATAAGACTGGCAAAGAATATTTTAATTTTGGCCATCATACTACCTGTTTTGACTGAGGTTCCATTATAACGATCTTTTAGAGAAAATCTGTTTTCTTTCATGTTTTTTATTTATCAGAAGTTTCAACTTTACTCACGAAACTGATTAAAAAATCATAAGAAAAGCTTATTTGTTTTTAAAACCTAATGCTCCTTTCCATGTCAAACCAACAAAGCAACGATGTTAATCACCGATAGAAAAAACAGTTAACCCTAGGAAAGGTTCTCGTGTTTTCTGCGTGTTTAATTAATAGGCTTGGGAAAAAATATTACATCGTGTGCTTCAACTCTGACGAGCTATTAAATACAATTTCATATCATAAACAAAACACTGTTACCTTCGAGCAGATATTTTCGACGGCAGGACCAAGATAGATGACTCGCCGTTCGTTGCTAATTCTTTACAACGTCGTTTATATTTCTGGTGGTACAGAAAATTCGATGGTTAGTTAAAAGCACTAAAAGCATCGAATTAAATCGTGCCGAGTAATTTAGCACTGGGCGAGTTTTGAATAAGCGCCACCGGAGAGAGTAGCTTAATGTACACAGTAGCGCAAAAGTAAATTTAAAAGAGAAAAACCCACACAAAGGAAAACAAAACAGAACTATCTTATGCTTACTTTCGATTAAGTCTTAACCAATCATAAAATATCTCTTTATTTTGTTTTCGGAAGGAAATTTCCCTAAGTGGAAAATTATGGGTACACACTTAGTGACCTGCGAAAATATAGTGTTCAGAGCTTAGGTTTGTCAGATGGTATTGTTTGGACTGACGACTGAAATTGAAAACCAAATACCAAAAGGAAAAAAAAAACCAGTGAAATATTTATATCTATAACAGTTTTGTCTATCATGGAATTCAGCCATGGTTTTTCAATTCACTGTCGAGCTAAGTTACAGGGAGGAAAATTTAAAAGCCCTCGATATTCCGGCTACAGTTCTTTAACGAATATCCGTCAATATTGCTTTTCCTATTCAAAGATTTTTGCAAAAGATAAATCTACGCTAAGCTGCAAATCCCCAAGTCTTAACTTTTAAGGCTGGAAGATTAGAAGCCTAAATAAGGCTTACAATAATTTATAGTTGAAACAGTGCGCCTACAACTCAACTAAATAACATTTCCACCAAAGAGAACTTTAATTATCTGAGATCTAAAATCCAAGGCAACAGAGACAGGCATCTTACTCATTGCACTGACACCTTTTCTATCACAAGTACTTCAGAAATATTTAAAAAAAAAAAAAGTTTCATACTGGCTTCACTGCTTATGACAATACATATTCTGCTTCCATCTACGTGATAAGTACAATGTATTTTGAGTGGGTCCTCTCTCAATATGTTAATAAATCCAGACTACAGAACTACCGCAACTGAGCAAAGAAAGCTTCCTTGAAACAGCCCTCTATCTTTTTGATCGGTTAAAAAAAAATTTAATTATTCACCTTTTGGAGGTGAAACGCAATGAAATTGACCAGAAAGCAAAATTTCAAGCAAGAACTGCAGAAATAAAACCGAACAGGTAAACCTGGGTGTCTTCAAATGAAATCGAAAGGAAAAACGCAAGATAATCTTCGCTTGAAAAGAGATCGTTTGAGATGAAGGTAAGGTAATTCGCTTTGACGGTGTAGAATATTTCCATAATAAGTAAGCCCAGTGGGTTGGTATGTTATTATCATTGTGATGCCTTCGTTCATTCTTATGGCATCACTTAGTTTCCAGTTAGACTAAGTTCTGAAACGCGTCTTTAATCTCGCGCGAGTGCTGCGAACATGAAGTGAGAGATGAATTAAGTGAAGATACATCTCACAGCGGTGATATTACGTTTTGCTTCAATCTAATTTGCATTCTAGAGTACAAACGAGAAAATATGTTTCTTTTGCTCTGAAAGGAAACAAAAAACTGAGAACAACAAAATGCGCCGTAAAAGCTACATGTTTCGTTTCTAGTAGTAAGTGTGATGACTCCGGATAATCCAGCATAATGAAACATACTCTCTATGTGAGAGCCTAACTACACGTAAAGTTGTTATGTCTCTAGCTCTTCCATGGTAAGTTGCGCAGAACAACTCGCCAAGTCTTCCACATAAATTACACTGCTTAACGGAAAGTTCAACGCATTAAATTGAAATTCAATCATTAAAAAACGACGTAAAAGTAGAAATTAGGAATCTTGGAATAGGCTCCCATACTCCCGATATTTAGGACAGGTTATCAGCCTTCTAAATTCAGCACCAGCAAATAAAACAAGAGTCAAACTTGTAACTGGACCAGGTCATGTGACAGGTCAGGTCATGTGACAGTTTCGGTAAGCATCTTACCCGTGAGAGTAGACAGTTGAAAACGTCACAACTTTCAATGTTTTGACTTGTAAAGACCTTTAACGGCATCCCGATTTTGTCACACTGACTGCATGGCCAAAAAGCTTTGTATGAGTCATTATAATGTTCGGATTGATAATTTTTTTTCGGGACTGAACAAATTTTTGCAATTTTCTGTGTAAGCGATGGAACATGACAATTCAACACAGGTAGTATTTTATATTTTCTCCTCTCATTATTTTCTGAGTGACAGATATTCACTGTGAGAGATCTTTTTCCTAAATTCGCTTAAACTTGAAAAATTGAAAAATCGATCCGTATCTTCATGACCTAAAGAACTGATTCAGTATATTAAACATGCATGAAAAATACCATCCCTGTCTGGTACCCTGTGGTATGGGGCTGTCTGACGTACTGACTCGGTTTGAAGGATAACATAACAACTCAGTAAATGGTTTGAACTCGGGGGTAACATGTGAAGGTGTTGTCTGATCGTCCGGGTGAGTGTAGTCCTGAGAAGGACTGTTGTCGGTGATAGTGACTGACGTTTCGACAACCTGTGCGGAAGTCATCATCAGAGTCAAGTGAATGATTCTACTGACAACAATCATTCACTTGACTCTGATGATGACTTCTGCACAGGTTGTCGAAACGTCAGTCACTACCACCGACAACAGTCCTTCTCAGGACTACACTCACCCGGACGATCAGACTACACCTTCACATAACAACTCAGTTAGCCATTACTGTTATCACAGGCGGCCCAGGCTCTGTCACAGGCTCTATCACAGGCTCTGTCACAGGCTCTTTCACAGTGGATTATTACAGAGCTTCTATAGTGGTTCAGTTGGACTTGCTTTTGAGCTCCGTAAATTTAAAGTTGTGTGAAATAATCAAAGAAATAAAGTCTTACCTTCATACAGAGTAGTCTGTGCTGTTTTTGTCGCGATTTGAGGCCGTTTTGCTGTGTTTCAGCTTAACGTCCTAGCACTACCAAATAAAAGGGAAGGCAGGAAAGCTCTGTCTCACACACGCTCGCCAAAATCGTTCGAAAAACACACTTAAATACTTCCCCTTGAATCGAAACTTGGCAGCACGAAAGCCAAAGAGTTGCCCTTCAAGTTCACCAAAACAAATCCCACAAAAGTTGGGTTGTCGAGCAACCAACCCAGCGTAAATCTCAAATTGACCGCCATTTCAACACCATTAGAATGCGCGTCGGTCAAATCCAGTGTAGTGAAAAGTCCGTTACGACGCAGTCAGCCTGGACACTAGCAAAATTAGGCCCAACAGGTAGCCCCACGATATGAATGATTAGTCAGAAATAAATACCAACCCACACGTGGAGGTAATATTTTGTTAAATGGCTATTGTCAACTGTGGCCAAAGTTTAGCAAAACAGCAACAACAACATCCATTATGACAGAGCCTGTGACAGAGCCTGTGACAGAGCCTGGGCCGCCTTTGCTGTTATCAGGAAAAAAACAGTGATGGCAAAGCAAGCCCAAAATGACCAAAATCGCCAAAAAACACAACAGACACACAAGGAATGAGTAAGTTTTATTAATCTAACATATAAAATATTCATATTTCGGAATATTTAGTGTTTTGAATGGACCATATTTTGTTCCCCATACTATTCCTTATAGCGCATTCAAATTATCAACGGTTGCTCGCGTAACTCAACACCGCGTCGCACAACGCGTGACGCTTTCATGAAATAATCCTTCGCTTTTGCTCGAGACTTGAGCTTGGGACGCCTGTGGTTATGTATAATGAAAGTGAGCACTATGAATTTTAGAGACCAGCACGTTCAAAGCAAAAAGAACGGGGAAAAGAAACAGTTTTCCCGTTTCACTAATCAAAAATAACTCATTGCCATTGATAAACAGGTGGTTGGAATTAGAGATATTTTAAAAATATCAGGCAAACACGGTTAACAAGCGAAAATTTCAAAGCAATTGTTAAACAGTGAACGTAGTTAAAAACAAGTATAACGTCCATACTTCAGCCAAGAGTCTTCCATAGCTCAGCGGTGGAGCATCCGAAGAAATGATCGGAAGATCGCAGGTTTGACCTCTATTAGGAAAACTCAGAGTTCTTTTTCTCCGCCGGAGTAAGGCCTATATAATTCTCTGAAACATCTTTCAATTTTATTTAGTATGGCAAGCTTTGGATTGGATTCGCCAGTTCACTGAATGAAAGTTGACTTCGAGTTTACTCGATTCCTTTCGAGGTCATTTAGGTTTAATCACAAGGCTATACCACAGGCAGCCCAAGCTCTCTTTGAGAACCACACAAAGAACACAATTTGCATATCGATTCATAAGGAATTGTAGGGGATTTTCTACAAGATATCCATAGAGATAGTTCAAAGTGAAAATATTAAATAAGAATGGCTTACCTTACTCTATACGTGTGTTGTTTGCTCCTGGTGTCGTTATTTTACCTATTTCACTTGATTTAAGTGGTTTTTTTTTAATCCTGGTTTTCTCTTCTTAAAGAGAAGACAAGACCGAACGGGTGTGTAGAAAACAAAGACCTAAGACCCAAAAACGAAGACCCCCCTCAAAATCACTCATAAATATCTAGAGACGGGTATCTCGGCCTCAGATGTGTAAAGAAGACAAGATCTTAAAGAATTTCGACTAGAGTCTTCGTTTTCTACACATCCCCCCGGTGTGTAGAAAACGAAGACCCCCCTCAAAATCACTCGGAAACGGCTGGAAACTGCTATTAAAGTACTCCCGGAGGCATAAAGAGGCATTTCAAATCATTTCTCAGAAAACAGTCATTGGGTGCCCCTGAATTATAACGAGGAATTCGTTTAACGGAGGTTGGTTAAATCGAGATTTTACTGTACCTTTTTTGCTGGGCTAAAGAAAATGGTGTTTTATATAGAGGTTGGTTACATCGAGGTTACACGGTAGATACATGAATGAGGGATTCTCAATTGTTTGTTCATGTTTTGTTAACGTTCTTGTCGAGCACGCTGTTGTTGTGGTTGCTTAAAGATAAAAAATGTTGACGTTGATTGAAACAAGGCTGGGCATTTAACCCCTCAACAACTCTAGGATCTCCCAGTGACATGGTTATTTAATGTAATGAACGCTTTACAGCAAAAGATTATTGCGAAGAAACCTCAGACAAAGACCCTAGTCGAATTTTTTTATAATTGAAAATCGTCAGAGGCCGTGTTGTTTTTTACACTCCTTTGATGTCTAGGAGTCGTTAAAAGCAGTTTCCAGCTGTTTCCGAGTGATTTTGGAGTTTGACTAATGGTCGTGGGTCGTGGGTCGTGGGTACAAGTCGTGGGTCGTGGGTGTGGGTGTGGGTGTGGGTGTGGGTAAAAGTCGTGGGTGTGGTTAATACTTAATAATAAAAATAACCATTTAAAATATTAAATATAATAATACATAAATTTTATACAACCCTGTCATTCATTAATTTAACTGTTCTTTCTTCTAGTTATTTTATTTTGTTTATTCAATTTACCCTACTTTACGTCTATTTTTATCTGTTATCTCACTGTCAATGAAATTAGTTTCAGTTTCGCGACGCATTCCGAGATCTCGTTTGATAACAAAGGGAAGAGAGATAAATCTTGTAATTACACACTGTGTACACGTTTTTCGAGCTGTGCGGTCTGCGGTCTGCGGTCTGCGGTCTGCGGTCTGCGGTCTGCGTTCTGCGTTTTCGAGGTCTGTGTTAACGNCAGACGAGATCTCGGAATTTCTGTTCCTTGGCCCCTGACTTTAGCCGCAAATATAGAATTCACGAGCGCTGTCGCAATTTTAACGTTATAGTACTTCTACTATATGAAATCATTTTTGGTACAATCGTACAAAGCAACTCAGGTGTCTCGTTAACACAGACCTCGAAAACGCAGAACGCAGACCGCAGACCGCAGACCGCACAGCTCGAAAAACGTGTACACAGTGTGTAATTACAGGATTTATCTCTCTTTCTTTTATTATCAAACGAGATCTCGGAATGCGTCGCGAAACTGAAACTAATTTCATTGACAGTGAGATAACAGATAAAAATAGGCGTAAAGTAGGGTACATTGAATAAACAAAATAAAATGTAACTAGAAGAAAGAACAGTTAAATTAATGAATGACAGGGTTGTACAAAATTTATGTATTATTATATTATATTATTATTCTTATATTATTTTAAATGGTTATTTTTATTATTAAGTATTAACCACACCCACGACTTTTAACCACACCCACACCCACACCCACACCCACACCCACGACCCACGACTTGTACCCACGACCCACGACCCACGACCATTAGTCAAACTCGTGATTTTGAGGGGGGTCTTCGTTTTCTACGCACCGGGGGGTATGTGTAGAAAACGAAGACCCTGGTCGAAATTCTTTATAATTGAAGATCTTGTCTTCTTTACGCATCTGAGGCCGAGATACCCGTCTCTAGATGTTTATGAGTGATTTTGAGGGGAATCTTCGTTTTTGGGTCTTAGGTCTTAGGTCTTCGTTTTCTACACACCCAAGGCCGAACACTTCTGTCCGGACGGCCTCCCGAACGAAGTAAAAAATCCCAAGCTAAAATGTACCCACGGCCACAAATCCCCTGCAGAATTCAAAGGCAAAGGTTGACCTTTCATTTCGATTCTCTAGCCACACAATCTCAGCCCTGCGATCGACGCCAGGCGGCTCTTCGTGTCCTCAGTGAAACGCTAAAACGATGGTAACCGGTAGACATCCGCGTCATTTTAAACACGGCACAACGACCGTTGAGATCGGCTTGGTAACCTCATCATGTTGGCAAACCAAGACTCGCGGGGGTACTAGACCTGAGGGGACCCCGGGTTTTGCAAGAAGTTTTGTTGACAAGTTGAGGTCTAGTACCCCGCGAGTCTTGGTTTGCCAACATAACGAGGTTACCAAGCCGATTTCAACGGTCGTTGTGTCGTGTTTAAAATGACGCGGATGTCTATCATCGTTTTAGCGTTTCACTGAGGACATGAAGAGCCGGCTGAGATTGTGTGGCTAAAGAATCGAAATGAAAGGTCAACCTTTTCCTTTGAATTCTGCGGTGGATTTGTGGCCGTGGGTACATTTTAGCTTGGGATTTTTTACTTCGTTCGGGAGGCTGTCCGGACAAAAGTGTTCGGCCTTGTCTTCTCTTTAAGAAGAGAAAACCAGGATTAAATAAAACCGCTTAGATCAACTGAAGCGAAATCGGTAAAATAACGACACCACGAGCAAACAACACACGTATAGAGTAAAGTAAGCCATTTTTATTTAATATTTTCACTTTGAACTATCTCTATGGATATCTTGTAGAAAATCCCCGACAAATCCTAATAAATCGCTATGCAAATTGTGTTCCTTGTGTGGTTCTCGAAGAGCTTGGGCCGCCTGTGGCTATACTGGTATCGAAAATATTTTCCCTGACACCTCATAACCGCTTCGTATCTTCCGTCACATAATATCTTTGACAAGTTAATTCGTTGGGAAATATGTAACTTATTATTGACAGTGATGAACAAGCCTCAAAGATATTGCTGCGAGTGTGTCATCAATACTTATATAATGTGATAGTTACCAAATGGCTTCTACACACAAGCACCAATCGTTTTTAAATTAACCGAGGAATGCTCCAAAACAATTAGAGTTTGCCAACAATTTATCTCTTTATCTCTTCAATCGTATTTACTGAGCTGCGAATACGATCCACTTGCCTTTTTTTTTTTTTTTTTTCTCGGTGTAATGCACTGGAAGATTCGCTTTGCTTTGTTTTGTTTTTTACTTAAACCCTGTCATTCGGATTTCGACGTGCTTAGCCGAGGAGTGAGATGGAAAAATTCTACGATGAAGTACTTGGTAAGTCTAAATTTTTGGGCTATAACACTGTGACATGAACATCTAAACAAGAACTATTGCCGCATGCATCATAAAAGTTATGATCAACAGTAACTGCTTCACGGCGATGTTGGCTTTCGAATTTAGTCGCTTCCAAAAGCCTCATTATGGCTCAGTCTTTTGAAATCAGTCCAATAGTGCATCACAATTTAGAGTAAAAACATTTTGTAATCATGATTCAGAAAGTACATGTCTTCAAAACCAACCTGTCATTTGGAGTAACTGGATTTGACTTTAGGAATTGAAATTGTCCATTGCACCAGTGCGTGTATTTCCAAAATACTCTAGTTGGCCTGGCACTGTTCCAGTTCATTCAAAATTAACTATTCCAGCGATAAAGAAAACCACATGGGCGTCGGATTACAGGCACACAACGGGTAATGCTGCCAGATAAGGGTTAAAAGGTGAGGTTTGCCGTCTCAGCTGTGCACGAATTCTATGAAATAGAGAAATTTGGGTGTTAAAAATTAGGAAATATAACTTGATTTGTCTTTCTTTGTGTCTATGTTCGTGTCAAAAAAGGCACAAGAATGTGGAACAGTCATAAGCAGTTGTGGGCTTTAACCAAGCGCAGTTGGGGGAAACAATGCACAAAACCTTTAGAAACATTTGAGCATAAAGCATTTTATATTCCATCGATTTCAATATTTGGAATACGACAGCATCTATATGAGTTATTCAGGAAATTCAGTGCCAAGATTAAGATTCTTCAATTATTTGAATCCACCAGACTTCACATGAGCTATAAATAGTCATTAAGGAACACCTAGAAGCCAAGAAAACAATGTGCCAAAAACGCATGCTTCGCCAACTTGAGATATATCCTGAAGAGGTCGAATAAATTTGAAATAAAAAACCGTAAGAATTTAGGTATCTGTTACACCTTTGTTAGGGCGCCCTCTCCGGCGTATCGCTTTCAACACTCAACAAAGCATTCACTGTATTTTATCAACAATCTCCAGGAAGTTGAAGCAACAGCTGAAATTTCATATTTATAAAGCAAACGATAATACCTTGATACTAATTGGTCAAGTTTATTACTTCCGTGAAAGTCCATTTCGTAAGAAATCACTTGATAAATGTCTAAGTCATTTGACGAAGCTTAACTACGTGTCACTCTCGGACAAACAATTCGGCTGGGGGAAGATCAAATCATTTAAAACTGAAAGAACCGATCTTCTTTATAATCCCTTGACTGGACCGAGTCAATGATTTCAAATTTAGTACTGAGTACTAGTTGCGAACAGAGAATCGACAGAATAACATGGACAAAGTAATCTGTGGTTTGACTTCTGTCATCATACATAACGATATGATATGACAACTGACACAAAAAGCCCCCTCCCCCCAAGAAAAAAAATTTAATTTTCGTTTTCTTTCCGGTCACTGCTTTCTTTTCGTATGTTTCATTACCATTGACTGCGGTTACCACGACAGCTCATTGTTTTAAGGGATTTTAAACATTTTAACTCCGCTAAAAAATCATACACCTAGTACAAGCTTTGTCAATACTTACCTGCACTCAGATGAAGATGAGTGCGTTTGACCAACGAACAGAATAGCCCTGGTAAGTGGTAAGTGGAAAAAATTTCATTCTATATGCACTTTTAATCCAAATGTAAATTTCCTAATAGAAAATTATAAACCAATCACTTTTACTATAGATAGGAAAAAATAAGACCAGTGATAAATCGGACTGAGGCGTACTGTTGTAGAAATTGAAATACATGCAGTTTAAGCTTCCGAGTCAAAAAACGAAGATTGGAAATGGTTTGAATTTTGTGATTGTACCTTGCATAGACGATTGAATGGAGATAAATTGACTCTGATTCACAGGTCTGTTCATCATCGAACTGTTGTAGGTGAAAAGTGGCTCGAGAACAGACCAGCAAGTACGCATTTACACGTCGATAGGCCGAGCTACCTCGACTTTAAAGTTACCGATTAAAATACACTTAGTCTCAAAGGGAAGTTAAATGATAAAAGCAATGTGCCGACAAAAATGGCAGTGTCAAAATACTGTAAAACACTCGGACGAAATATGCTCATTGACAAGAGCTTTTAAAGTGACAACGAAAGATGTACACGCAAATAAAGACCGCATTTGTTTCCTTGGGTGTAAATTAAATAGCAATGTATGGTGAACAAATGATAAATATCTTTAAAATTGCCGATTAAAATGTACTTAGTCTCAAAGGGAAGTTAAATTACTAAAGTAAGCAAAAATACAACTGACTGGGGATTTTCAAATTAAGAAGGTGTTTCCAAGGAAAAAGTAAACAGAGAATGGTCCGAAGAAAATGTAATAATTAATATTTTGGAGATAAAGTGAAATAAGAAATTCACAGAACAAGAAAAAGATATGACGATTTTCGGCTAAAATGCCAAAGAAAACTGCGGGGTATGCCTTAAATCATAGGCGTATATCCCCAATCAACCTCGCTTGGACATCACGACTAAATACTAAGGAAAAAGAAAAATAAAGATAAGCTTTATTGACGTGACATGAAGGACAATGTGATTCATCTGGCGCTTTGTGTTCTGACAGAACAATATGAGCAAAGTATCAGCATTGTTTTCAAAGAATAAACTTAAAAGACTGCCGCCTTGAAGTGTGCGACAAAATGGCACGCCTGCGATCTGCTGGTTAGCCATTTTAGAAAACAGGGAAATTTAAAATTTGTTTTTCATGTAAAAAGTTAGTTCATTCAGTAATGACGTAGGTCCGGTTCAGACGTCGTGATTCTGCCGTGCTGAAGTTAACTGCAATAAGGTTCGACTGGAGCACGGCAGACTGAAGCACGGCAGACTGAAGCACGGCAGACTGAAGCACGGCAGACTGAAGCACGGCTCTGATTCAGACATCGTGCTAGAAATCCGTCAAAATACATTAACGTGACTGACTTGATCTACTCAAAATCATTTGGTTTGGTAGAAGCACGACGTTTGAATCGCTGTCACACTTTTTCAGGAGCCTCGCTGTTTTGACGACGCACATCAAATGCCTGCAACTTTTCTTTTCCTTCCAAAACAAATTTAATTTTGCGTATGCACTTTTTGACATGCTGGACGTGACTGAGATAAAAGCAATGTGCCGACAAAAATGGCAGTGTCAAAATACTGTAAAACACTCGGACGAAATATGCTCATTGACGAGAGCTTTTAAAGTGGCATCGAAAGATGTACACGCAAATAAAGACCGCATTTGTTTCCTTGGCTGTAAATTAAGTAGCAATGTATGGTGAACAAATGATAAATATTGAAGCATCCTTTGAACGAAGTGTCACCTACGATCTTTTTTTACACGATAGCATGTGGGTGTTTTAACATAGGCACCGTGCTTACAAAGAAAAAAGGGAATTAAGGAGACTTTTTCAACAAAATCGCCACGACCACTGTTCACGTGCTGACGAACCTTACGTCTATTCATAATCAGTACTCTACTGAAAAGGTTAGAGATAAGAAAAATCTTAACTTGAAAATGTTTGCCATCGGCATACTCCATCATTAGCACTGTAAGCAATATTTTACGGCTCGAAATAATATGTGAGTTGTTTTTGTCTTTTCAATCGCAAATGACTGAAAACAGTTTAAAATGAAACAGAGCACCTCCTATGGTTTTTTTAATTTTGCAGTCACAGGTTGTTTGATATTTCCATCCAAACTCGAATGCCCTCGTTTAGAGATTGAATGACAATAACGACCTTTTTTTTTTCTCCAGAAATATTGCAAATCAAAAGCCCAGTAGACTGGTAATTGGGGACTGAATGAAAATTGTAATTTAAAGCCGGTCAAGGTGAAAATAGTTATAATAAATGGTTTTACAATTACGACAAGTTTGCAACAGCGCGAGAAAACGCACCACTGTAACAAGGCCGCCACCGAGAGATAGACCGCAAACGATCTTTTTTTTACCTTGTTTCAAGAGTATTTGAATTGGAAGGAAAAGGTATTGTTCACCGGTAATTAGGGTTAAAAAATTTTGTTTTATCACGGAAACCTTTCGAGAGTATGCTGGTTCCAGAGAAAAATATTTTTTTAAGGACGTTTTGGCTAGATGAAATATATCCATCTCAAATTTACCTCAATTAACTACATCTTTCTTGGCTAACTTTGAAAATTTAATACCTTCTCACTCTAACTACATCTAGGAGCCATGGAAATTGAACAAAGCAATGTAATCTTTCAGTAATTAGGGTCTAAATAAAATTCACTTTTACGAAAAAGGTGTGATCAACACGCTAGCAGAGTGACATATTACTAAACCCCCTTGCGAGAATTACGTTTACCCCTCTGTTGTGTACTTTAATACTTTCATAATAATAAGTAACAAAGTGATTGAATACACTTAATTTTTCAACTCAAACTGTGACAAAATAAGGCCAAGCTAAAAATTGTCTTTCACGAAGACATTTGGAAAGTCTAATCGTCAATAAGGTGACCATTTTCTTACTATATTCGCCGCTGGAATCAAGATCGCTTCTTTGGTTCTCTTCGATACCGTCATAATTAGTGGTTAAAAGCTGATTGAGTACAGCAAAGATGTCAATACATACTGTGTCAATACATTGATCCAGGCGACCCAGACATTCGTTAACGAAGAGAGTTCAATATTCATGAGTTTACCTTTTCCTATAAAACTCAATTACGTGTGTCAAAAGGTAGGACATTCAAAGTAATTTAACACACGTAAAGCGGAGAGAGACAGAAAGAAGCAAAATCAACAAAGAAAGACGGCATGTTTCAATCCCTTGGCAACCGAGGTTGACATGATCTAAAAAAGACGAGCACGTTTAAAGTTGCCTGTTTGAGCAAACTTTACGTACGTGCATTTGGTTCACTCTGGATAAAGGCAACAAATGAAGCGTCGATCGAAAAGATAGGGAAGGATTATCGATACGAACAACGAAAGTCACTGTTGAAAACCGGGCGGCATCGAGAAGACAGGTAAACAAGAAGAGTTCAAAGTTGAAGCTTACTGTAAAGTTAAGACATGCAATCACGTCAAATTCAAGACCAGCCGGATAACTACGATTTGACAAGATGTTTTTATTTCCAACCTTGCGATTCTCGCCCATGTGACGACCCTTTATTTTACCTGTTTGGTCTCTGTTCGATTCATTCCCTATATTTTAGGTAATCAAGTCGGGTTAGGGACTTAAGGACTCTTAATCAGACTAGGGAACTGCTTCCTGAGTAATTATTTGGTGAAAGCGATCTTTTTTATCCTTAAGATATAGAACCTCTACTCTCTTAAAGATGTCAAACAACTTGATTAATTTTTTTTTTTGCTCTTGTGCTCGGCCTTGATCTCAAAACAACGAAGGAATTCACATTAAAATCAGTTCGGTACTACATTGCATCGACAAACGTGAAAACAAGAAAGTTGTACCTGTTAAAAGCAGTGATTTGTAATTAAATTTTTTACATTCGATTTCCAAAGCTTTCCAATCCTCCAGGTGTTTCATGACATTCAATATCGGGTACATTAACAAGTGTAAACATTCTGTCGGCAGTACAAACTGGTATATCATCTTTCAGCATCTCGATCTTGGATACGTCGGTAGTAATTCAAAACCGCACTCAGAAAATTGTACATATTAAAACTCACTTTCACGGAAAGGAATATTTTCCCCTCATATTCAGCCTTTGACTAATTTTTCTTTGTACCTCATGGTTGACTAATTCTTACTTCGTTCTGGGAACTTGGTTCAACTGCCGCAAGAATGATATTTTTACAGATAGACACAGAAGAGCAAATCACTCTATGATCTGACAATGTCCATCGTGATTGAACACTTTCTCAAAGATCGTATCGATAAATCAACTCCTTGGCAAACGACATGATCATGACTTGATCGCCTTATTATTGCTACTACAATAGATCTATGATCTCAAAAGGAATTTTTAACCCGAGAAAACTTTCTGTACAATATATTCCAGTTTGCTGATTTCACTGTTTAAAGAAATGCAATGGCATCCTTCTAAGCGTCAATTGAAGAACAAATCAGGAGGTCGTGAAATCGCAGAGTCCTTGAATTTCTTTTCTTTCTTGTCTAACCGTTGTTGACTATTTGCACATGATGTGGATTCAAAACTTTTATCGCAAGTAAAATGTTGAATGATTTTGATAGCACACTATGTCTGAAAAGTATGCAAAAATGATACATCACACCTCAACTGAGCTTTCAGTAGGAAGTGATGGTGCAAGCAAGAGAAATTATATTTTCTCTCCCTAATTTCACGCCATGCCAGGTGTTTGCATACGTCAGTATAGTAAAGTTAGAATATATTAGCACGTTTCGCAATTATATGGCAGCTCCATCTGAAACTAAATTTTTTCAATAACTCGGCGTGATAAAACATCCCAGCAAATGCTAAAATTGAATAGTTATTGTTGATCTTGCCGGTTTTTTAATTGTTAAACTGCCAAACTCACCAAAGCAAACATCACTTTACTCTAGAGGTATTTACAAACGTGGGCTGGGAAGCACTTTACCTGCTTCTATGCCGGTCAATTTAATTTCAATCACATATTTTTCCTCTCCGATCCTTTTTCAGGAGCAAGGAAAATGGACAATCACTCAAATCCAAGTTTTGTTCGCCCCCCTCCCCTAATTGATAATGAAGCCAAAAGAGAGGCAGTAATCGCATGGTGCACCTTCTATGTCCAAATTGCTTTCCTAGCAGTCTTTGGAAATGGACTAGTCGTGGCTTCCTTCATTCGGTACTCGCGACTACGTACGATAACAAACTATTTCGTGGTCAGTCTTGCTGTGGCAGATATCTTGGTGGGCTTCGTCTCCATCCCCATATGGATCTCAATGCTGCTTTATTCTACCGGCGGTAAAACGTTAGGGAACATTTACTATGTCCTTGACATCTTTGCAGGTACCTGCTCCATACTGCATCTCGTGACCATCAGCTCAGAACGCTTTTTTGCTGTGGTTTATCCAATTCGTCGCCGCAACACCTCACCCAAAGTATATTATATCTTTCTGGCGGCTGTATGGATTATTCCAGCTGCAGCATCTCTATCTGCATTGGAGCTGAAGGAAATCAACCAAAAAGCAAATATGATGTTCCTTTTCATGGGTTTCTTCGTTATTCCTTTGTTGGTCATTCTGTTCACTTACGCAAAGATTTGGCGCGCAGCCAGGAATCGTATACAGCCTACTCGGGACAGTCCACGGTCGATGAAACGTGACATGCGCATTGCAGTTACCATTGCGTTAGTGATTGGCTTTTTCGTCATCGCTTGGTTACCTTTCTTTACAGTTCAGTTACTAATAGTGTTCTGCGAATCATGTAAACCCAGAATTTACAGCCCCGACCTACTTTTGTTTGTAAAGTTTATGCACTACAGCAATTCGGCGATCAATCCTATTGTCTACGCTGTAAAGATCCCAGAGTTCCGTCGAGCCTTCAAACAGATAGTTTGCTGCTGTCATAGCAGATCCCCATCCGTCACCGAAATTGTATCAGGAACAGACATGCGTGTCGCTTCACACACCTCTCGTGAGAGGGCTTTGTCTCATTAAAAAAATAAACACACAAAGATTCCCTATGATCAATCCGAGCTTGTGGTCGGCCGGCATATAATTCAGATATCTTCAAAGATTGAGAAAGACAGCAATGAATATTTGAACTATGTCAGTTCACCTTTATTTTACGATAAAACCAAGGCTCTAAGTGAGCCCGCCACATGGATGCATTTCTGCTCGTTGAGAATTGCTAGAATTCTATCGGATAATGATTAAGATATGACTGGCTGATGAGCGGGTGAAATTGTTGGTAAGTAATCTAATGAACATATATTTACCATTCATTCACGAGATGAATATTCGTGATTTATTCTCGGCTATTGAAAGTGCGGAACATTTAAGTTCCGGCCGTGATCAACTCTCGAGGAAAACAAAGTGAAACATCTTTTGAAAAGAATACTCACTTAGCAAAAAGTGCTTTCTCACGGGGAAAATAATACAAGATAAGCAAACCCAGCAGAGGAAAATGGTCGCTTCTGGGCTCTCTTGAATTACCCTCAATGGAAAAACAAGACCTCCGTGAATAGGAGAGAGGCAAAAATTTAAAGTTAAAAATTTACAAATGTAACTGACAATGGTTGTCAAAAAAGAATAATAAATCAATAAAAGTACATTCGGGATATTGCTACCTATGGGATATATTTGGTTTTGCTTTCAGCTGACTGAGATAAGTCCGCTGTCCTTAACTTAGCAATTTATCTAATGAAAAAATAGAGACCTGCATACAATCCACAACCCCGGAGGTCCTACGTTCCTTGGTGATGCTTATTCAGTCTATTTTCAACCTCACTCGGTCAGTTGTATGCACTTATTCGGTTAGTCAGGGGTGAACATAACTCGGTCAGTTATGAACATGAGTTTGTCAATTGCGAGCACCGCCCTAATTCAATTTTGATGATGTCACGTGAAAACCAAGAATATCAGTCGTATGAAGTCATACTGTCAGTATGATTGCATCATAGTTAATAACTATGATTGCATACAAAACGCAGTCAGTCGTAACGCCGTTACGACTGACCGGCACTTCTACTATTTACGCACTTATTCTGTTTATTCGGTCAGTTGAAAACATCATTGTGTCAGTTGTATGCACTGAATCGGTCATGTGAAAACTGACATTTCTCTATCAGTTGTATGTACTTTTTTAGGAACATCACTCGATCAGGTGTCTCCACATATTCGATAAAGCGAAACATCACTTGCTGAGCATCTGGTCTCTGAGCATTTGGCTTTCGGACATCGGGACTACTACAAATGGTGAACTTTACGCTATTTCACGCTTACTTCGCGGATAGGTATATTATGCATATGAAATATTCTATTGTGAAAGGCATATGAAAAGCAGCAGAAGGATATTTACAGAATGTTATCACTTTCACATGGTGTTTTCACATGCTGTTCACTTTTCGGTTCTGGAAGCCTGCATGCGAAAAGCTTGCAATAACGCCACAGGAGGCCCACACAAGCGGCGTGTCTGGTCGTTTGTTCGAAATATAAAGAAATGTATGGGAGAATATTGAAGAGTAGTAATATCGTAAATTTATATCGAGGAATGTCTATGTTAAGGCTCAAAATAAATGTAAACCTACCTCACTTGCCGTGTATTGTCGTTTCTGTGGTTCTAAATGGCGAATTTGAGCGATTTGGTAGATTTTGCGTTGACTGTTACTTTACTGTAAAAGAAGTAGAGTTACTATGAATAAATGAAGTTCATATATTCATCGTATCTGATTTAACATCACAGGTTTGTTACGAATCAACTTAACGATCTGCTCCCAGTTGGCTTGTTAGCTCAATTGGTAGAGCGCTGCACTAGTATCACAGAGGTCAGTGGTTCGAATCCCGTACAGGCCTGATTTTTTTCAGGTCTGATTTTCGCTATTGCATAAATAGCGCTCTCTACTGCGAGGATCGTGCATTATACGTAAGAAGTAGAGTAACAGCTGTGGCGCCATATGAGGCAGTAAGCTCCTGCAGCCATGTTTGAAATTCTAACAAACAGTAGCAATTCATTTTTTAATCGGAGTCTTCCTTGGCGTTGCCGTCCTGACTGCTTAAACACGAAGGCGCGCTATATAAGGAAGTCTTCCCTGGGAAGACCTGGGCTCATTTGTCACTCACCGTTGACGTGTGCGGGTCAAATTTAAATGCTAGTAGACGAACAAAAGGAGCTAATGAGATATCTATTGTTTACTTCCACCAGCATGGTGGCATGAGGTAACGGGCGAATCACCTACGTCGATTTCAAATTTACCGCCACAAATAAAGACAGTTTCCATTGGAGAAAGGAAATACAAATCTCAAAAATTCTTGTATTGTGATGAAGACATAAAACAATTTTGAGGAATGCGCCCGCTGTTCACTGCTTTGGAGTAGCTGTAGCTCAAGCTGACTTGACTCTTAGGCCCTGTTTACAAGCAAGGAGGGTAACCCTTGTGCTAGGGTTACCCTAGCAGGCGGGTCAAAAAAAGCCCGGGTTTACAAGCAAAATTTCACAGGTAGGGTTACCCTACCACACGGGACAACTTACCTATGCTTGGTAACCGCACGCATTGTTATAAATGTTCAAATGGTCTGGAAACAAGAAAAAAGTTGTCCCGGGTAGGCGAGTTATCCCCAGCAGAGCGTTTACAAGGCGGCTAAGGTTACCCTGGCGCTAGGGTAACCCTAGCGCTCATTTCTTCTTTTTTTCATCGACGTGTTTACAAGACAGCTAGGGTTACCCTAGCTGCCTTGTAAACACGTCGATGAAAAAAAGAAGAAATGTGGGAGCGTTAGGGTAACCCTCCTGCCAGGTAACCCTAGGGTAACCCTAGCACTAGGGTTACCCTACCTGCTTGTAAACAGGGCCTTAGATTTCTTCATCACACGACGGTTGATTGACAAATGGTCCAGTGGGACCTAAGGCTCCTTTTATAGCGCGCCTTCGAGTTTAAGGTCCCTATTCATTCTAATCCGCTTATAGTGTTTCGTCTGTGTGATCACGTGTAATTTCGACGATCGTACGGTTCGTCACCGTTTTTTCCCGGAAATCAAGTAAATTATGCCTATTATCGAGCGCACAGTAAGTATAAGTAAGCAACTGTAGTGTTATCGCTTTGTAGAATAACGGGTAGGAGACCTTGTGTACTTGGAAATGCTGTCGTTTTGGACATTTGGACACTAAAAGCTCTTTCGAACCGAGAAATTTCCTCAAAGGAAAAAGGAAATTTAATTTTTCGGTTGTAACGGCCTAAGGTTCACACTTATGTAAGAGCTGGTATTGTTAGCGACGTTTGATTGACAGCTCATTCACTCGCAGTTACTTATATTTGCATATTGTTTACAACTTGTGTGACCTTGTGTAATTTTATCCAACTCGTGATCAACCTTTCGCATTAGCTAGTCACGAATACAGTTTTGCCTGTTTGTGAGACGCCCCTCGAAAACTACAAACGACAGGGACGCGCAGCGACGGAGCGACTTCATTAAGAATGTCAGAAAAGGACAGTAACGGCGTCATGGTGGACAACGGTAAATCCTTTGGGAGACCTGAAGACAGCCGCGCTGTTCTGATAGAGCCGATGACGATAGAAGAGCACGAAGTAGTTGTCGAGGACGACCGAGAGAAATGGGGTAAAAAATTGGACTTTATGCTATCGTGCGTTGGGTACGCAGTGGGGCTTGGAAACGTTTGGAGGTTTCCGTACTTGTGTTACGAAAATGGAGGAGGTACGTACGTGATATAGCGAGTGGTTTTTGTTTATACTGGCTTGTAGGTAACCCCAAACAATGTTTGAACTTGTTCCCTATCTCAAGGGTGTTCCTTTGATCACCGGCTGATAGGTTGTCAGAATACTTCACGTCCCTTTCAGGCCGAAACGCATAGAATGCTATTAACAAGTCTTACGATTTGAGCGTGTGTTATTCTAGGATCTCTTTATTCCATAATTTAATTTGCATAAATGCTCAGCGCTGTTCGATTTGGTCGCACCTTGCGATTTACAGAACGAACAGAATAAAAAGGTAGATTTGCAATTAACTTTGCCGTTCGATGATTGCTCTTAGTAAACGAAAATATCTTAAAACACTGTATCATTCTCTGCACCGCTTCTAGGTCGCGTCCATTTAGTTGAGCAGATCTTTGTATGGTAATTAAATGAACGGTAGGAACTCAGAAAGCCGGGACTCTCTTTCAGCGGTGAAATCAACAGTTTTGTAATTCTGTCTGTTTTTGGCAGATGAATATTGCCTGTTATTTCACTTGACATGTTAAGTCGATTATGCGCAAGGTTGAGCTGTTATCGTCGCAACCAGATTAGTGGTAAAAAGAAAACCTGACTTAGACGTAGCAGGTCTATTGAACATACTACCATAGCTGATGCAAATATAAATAGCCTGCTGTGACGTGTCGACATTTTCTCAGTGCTGCGTTTTGATTGCAGATTTTCGCGCCCTTGTTGCATCGACAGGGTCGACAAAGCGTCATATCTATAGCGGCGAGTAGCATGTCTCGTGAATTTCAATAACAATCCTTATGGTCTAAATGTCTTTTGTCTGGGATTATTCGACGGATTTTTTCCTAGTTCATTTTCGATGGGCTTTATTTTGTCGAAATACAAAGCCACTGGGTTGGCATTTATCCATCTTTTAGTCTTTACTGTCATTTGAAGCATCTGTGGTTTCAATGCATTTACTAAAATCGATGACAGGGTGGAAGCAACTTGATACTTGAAACAAATTCGTGTCTGCCGGCTACATGAGTAATTACGCGAGTTACCCGCGAATTTAAAGAAATAGACGTGTTTCAAGAATTGGTTTTTCGCATGACGACAAGACGCCTGAGCAAATATTAAGCAAAGAGCTTGCGCCATCCTCTGTAATGGTTTTTCCCGCTCACCCTCATACCTGCGAAAATTTACGCGGTAGTATGAACGGTCTATAGGCCATGATTATAATGCTGTATTATAAAAAGTACATCAAGATAGATTTTTATCGCTAAGCCAACAAAGAACCGGAACACTTAACTTTTTTGCAAATGGACGGTAGCGTTACGTGACGCACCAGAAATGTACCAATCACAAGTTTGAGTGCTTCTTTAACGTAAGAATGAATGGTACATGATTACTGAAAGAGACCTAAATTAAAAACTGTGCTGAGAAGAAATACTTTCAACACTAAAAGTATCATCGAGTAATTCATAAAATTAAGTTTAACCCTGTGTGTCACACTACTCTGAAATGAGAAATCATATATTGTTCTGATACTCGCTTATTGTATTCGCGTATGACAGTGCCAGTCAAGTTTTGTGTCTACCTTACAGACCCTTCATGGCCTAGGGCGAATCCAGGGGTGGTTCGGTCGAACCCCCTAAATTTTCCCACAGAACGCTGGAAATCATGTTTCCGAAGACCTAATTTTCAAAATCTTCAAGCCCTCAGAAGGGGAACAATTCTCCGAACCCCTCTTGACTAAATCTTGGACCGCCCCAGATGGCCTCGAGCCGCTGCATACCGGCGAGAACTTGTAGTATCCGTTAAAATTGTTTAACATTTTTCCCGACCGTTTTCGATCTATTTAATTAGTGAGGAATCCCGTTGGATTCCAATGCTTGAACAAGAAAAGCCTCGAGATTGAAAATTTTCCTCTGCGATTGACTGCAAAGTTGCCAACCGGTTCAGCCGCGAGTTTTGATATTTTCAAGATGGTTTTTCCGTTCCATTCCGATTGAGATTGACCCTTAGGAGCTCAAAATGAACTTAACAATTGGTTTATTCGTCTACATTCTTCCATGGGATTATGGAGCACGTAAAGCGAAGTGAAGAGCGTAAAGGAAGTGTAAGAGCTGCTCGAAGCGTAGCCAAGAGGAACTTGAGCTTTCGTCTGAGTGCTATTTTTTCTCATTTTTCAGCCGCAAACCGCATCGCGTTTGCATGGTAATCGTACCATTGTGCACTCGAAAGTTGTTTTGTCGCTTTTTAGAAGGCATAGTTGCTCATCGCTATTTAAATCGAGTGATTATATAGCTTCGAATAGTGTATCTAAAAGATAGTCATGTTGCGGCACATTCTGTTGATAGTGACATAATTTACGCAGTGATTCATCTACCTGCGTGTTCCAAGACTTAAACTGAGAAACATACCTCTAAAGTTATTTTCTGTGGGAGAGAAAGTATACTAAAAACAGAGAAAATAGCGCGCGCACAGAAAAAAAAAATTTTGCCTTCTGTTGCACAATCTCATCCGGCTTTGCCAAACTTCACGAACATACAGATGGGGAAATGACATCTTAAAACGAACCCTTATTATTACATCGTAAAGGAAAATCATTAAGAGATATCCTAATAAGAGCTTAATTTTGAGGGCAGAGACAATTAAGACCGATTGTTCTTACCCGCTTCCTGATCAAGACTAAAACATCACGCCAATAGCTGTGAGGTTTTAGCCAAGAAATTTGAGAAGTGATTAAAAGACATCGGTCGGCAAGTGGTCGGCACGCTGACACCGTTACAACTCTGACCGGGTCACCAGTGTTGTGTTTGTCTCACACAGTTCGTCTCCTCAACACTGGTGTAGTGTATTGAGAACATAGTAAAAGAGCACTTGTACCAATGTTAGTGATATTATTATAGGGCTACTGAACGATGTGAAAGTACTGTAATAAAGTAACATGATAATGATAAAATAATAATAATAATAATTTAATAGTACCACTGTGGTACTCTCAGAGTATTCTGAAGCCACTTTACGAGAACAAGAGAGGAAAGGCATTCTGGGACATATCACTATCTGCAGAACACGTGGAGGTGAGAAGCAACAGGATAGACCGCTGTACGGTTAGAGACAAGGAAAGGAAGTAGTGTTACTTGAGAGGACGAACAAGTACGCCCCTCTGCGGTACGAATTAAGGAGATACCCAGAGTACAAGATTGAGCAGTATGACATCATAATGGACGAACTTGGCGAGAGCTCGCGAAGGGTCAAGGAAAGCATACGCCCACTGGTTGGAAGTGGCCGATGTCACTGAGTGCTAAGGAGCATGCAGAAAGCTGAAGTCTCGAGCTCCCTTAATATTGCCAGGACTTTCAAGATCCTATCGGACTAAGTTCTTCCACCTACGTTAGTTTCAAGTATAGGTCTTAAACATTTATCTCCATTTTAGGGTCCATGGGTGTACCATTTTTGAACTCTTAAGTTTATTTGTGTCTGGACTTTTAAGGTGCTATCGGACTAAGTTCCTTAAACGACGCTAGGTTCAAGGATAGTTTTAATAGGTTGATGGAACATTTTTTTTACTTTTAGGGTCTAGGGGCACACAACTTTTAAAGTTTGGCTTTATCTATGTAGTAGTGATAATTGAACAGGCTACGCCTTTGGCGCCCTATATCAATTTTATTTGTAATCTGAAGCATTCTGAAGTGTAAACTTTGATAATAATTCAATTTAGCTATGGACATTCCACGAGGTGGCTTTTCTTGTCCACTGTTTCCAGATCGAATTGGAATTTAGAATGTTGTTTTATGTGGAGGGAGGAAAACCGGAGGACCTGAAGAAACTCTCTCTCGGAGCAAGGACGAAAGCCAACAACAACTTAACCACATGTGAGACCAGGTTCGTGGGGAATGGAGTCTTAGCCACAGGGATGAGGTGTGAATGGTTTCACCACTGCTCAGTTCCTGCTTCTATTAGAACAAACACAAAGGCAATATCAATTAAGGAACCCACGACGGGTAATGGGCTCCTAGTAATTATTAATTCTGCAGTCAAAAGTACTGCAATCCATGGATTCTTCCTTTTTCCCAATTTGATATGTGTGTTATAGATTCCCCCTTTTTTCTCAATTTAATAGAGATACTATTTCATATTAATTTGACAGCAACTTTCTTGATACCATACTTCGTGATGCTTGCAATCAATGGGATCCCTTTGTTTTATATGGAACTTGCAATCGGCCAATACCTGAGTCTTGGAACTGTTGGAGCCTGGACAGCTCTCTGTCCTATAGCCAGAGGTGAGCCTTGTAGTTACACCGCAGTTGCAATTTTTTATAAAACTCAAAAACTCAGGAAAGAGGGTGTGCTTTTTGTAGTAAGTATTTAAGTAGAATTGACAAGCTCTTTGCCAGATGCTATAAGCTGGGTTACTGCTGAAAGCAGCACAGTATCTTGGATATCCGTTGTAATAGAGATATGAAATTATGGCAAAGGATCTCTTCCACCAACACTGCGTTGAGCGATCTCTTACCTCCCCAGAGAACACGGCAGTTGAGAACTAGGTCGCATAATTATATTCTACCTAAGGTTCAGACAAGTCGTTTTAAATCGGTTTCTATTAATGGATATCTTTTCAATAGTAACTAATTTTTTCCCTTATTCATTCTATTGTCATGTTAATTGTTGCACGTCTGTTTGCACAATAATTCTTAATAAAGACCTTTATTATCATTATTATTATTATTATTATTATTATTATTAGAGTTACTAACATAATTTTTTCACAGTTATTTAGCAGTCTTCATCTTTCACCATTTCAGTGTGCGACTAGATCTTGTTCTGGGCGGGTTTCAAATGTGCTCAAAAGACACAAAAATATTTGAGCTTTCAACTGTCAGCAAAGACTAGGCTGAAATATCCTAAGTTAGACGTTTTAATAAACTAAATATAATATGCATTCTCACAGGTATTGGATTTGGAATGATCATGGTTTCTTTTCTGGTATCCGTCTACTACAATATGATCATCGCCTGGTGTCTTCTCTACATGTTTCAATCCTTCAGGAAAGACGTACCGTGGAGAACTTGTGATAATGAATGGAACACTCCTCTTTGCCAGTAAGTATCAAAATAACACCATTTATTACACGACTCGGGCAGTCAGAGGGCCAATAACTAAAATCAACCAATCAAAATGCTCTATTGCCGGTCAATATTCTCTAAGTATTGGACCGGGCACTGTCCCGAATGGTCCCGAATGATACCGCACTTGTACCCCTTTGAACTTCAGTCGTATAATAAATCTCTTATTAACCAAGCTTGCTCAGGACCGTACTGGAAGAATATCGGCCCTCGGTCTTTTTTGTACGAACCTCGCTGCGCTCGGTCCGTACTGTCAAGACCTCGGGCCGATACTCTCCCAGTACGGCCCTCGCGCTTGGTTAATAAGATATATGAATTCTACTTGCTGTTTTTGTTTGGTTGTTCTTTCTTTTTCTTGTTTGCTGTGTTTGATTTTCATTGTCATGATTGTTACCTGCCATAAAACAGGAGAAGTTTGGATATCATACAGACTCCCATCGCTTGTGCAGTTTTTGATCTCGTTTTTCCCGATTCTTAAGGATCTCCATACTTATTTCTAGATAAAACAGTTATTTATTTATTCATAAAACGTGTTTGTCTATCGTGTGTTTTATTCCTAACAGAACAACGAGAAGAAATATTTCATTGAACTGCACAGCTCTAGGCTTTGCCGCTGACTGCAAGAGCACCAGCCCATCTGAGGAATTCTTTAAGTAAGAGTCGAGTATATTTTTTAATACCTTAGTTTCTAAGATCATCCGTACTTGACCCTGATGATATCTCCTGCTCAGGTTGTGGAAAAGTATTCAACGGCAGCGCATTGAGGGTGTGCATGAACGTTTAGGGTTGCGAATCGGCGGATTCGATCTGAAAAAAATGTTTCAATCTTTTGGAACAGAGAGAAAATATTAAAGATACCTTTACTGCCTGCCTAGAAATAAGTTTTTAGTGGTATAACATTGCCTTAGCAAACATGGGCCAGGAGAGAAGACGTTGGATAAAATCTAAATGCCGAAAAAGAAAAAAATTGCATTCAAATGCCCCACCCAAAATTGAACGATTCTTTGTGTAATGAAAGAATGTTATACACTTTAGCCAGATCACTTAGTAGTTTTTGGTACTGCTGTTGGGTTTTTCGCTTGTAAGTATCATTCTATGATGCGAAAATTGTCTTCTTAAGCCATTCGCTCACGAAAGCACTATCTTTACTTTTACACTCCTTCATTAAAGCACGTGTAATATGCTGGAAAGACTCGACACTTTTGGTTCAAATGCCCCACTCACCCAGGCAAGGTTCAAATTCCCTACCCCCGGGCACAAGCAATGGTCATATGCCCGTGGGTTACCTGGGGGGGAGGGGGGAAGGTTAAGGATTCAAACTGATCGGTACTTAACTCTTCTACTATGAGTATATCAAAATGAAATAGTGTAACATAAGAATTAGCAAGATAACTTTTCCAGTGCGGATTTTTGACGATGTCTCATTGTATCTTTTTTATTATTATTATTAGCAATAACATCCTACAGATATCCAACGGCTTGTCTGACATCGGGGATGTGAGTTGGCAAATTGTCTTGTGTCTGATTCTTGCTTGGGTCATAGTCTACCTTTGCCTCATAAAGGGAGTGATATCCTCTGGAAAGGTAAGTAAAAACTAGACATTGTTGACAAAAAAAAAAAACAGATACAAAGCTCTATTCAAACTCTACTCGATAAATTAGGATTTCTGAATGACAGACAACAGTTCGTTGATCGAAGTCGGTTGTGACATTCAAAAACGAAAACAGGTAAACCCGCTTATTTTCTATTGCAAAAAGTCGATAACGATTTTGCTAACTTCAAGACTACCTTGCGACGCGGAATTTAGTCTTTTTGGCTTCTCGAAGGCGAATAGTACGTACAAATCAGATCACCTCCGAACTAGCCAATCAGCACGCGTGAAAAGCGCTATTCATCTGTGTGTTTTATACCTAACTGAACTGCGTCATAACTTGGATGAGGCATAACTAACTTTTATTATGGAATGTATCACAAACTAAGAGTTAGCAAGATCAAATCGTGATTAGAGGCCCTCAGCTTCCAGCGAAAAGTTATCTTGATTTCATACCTTCCCCCCTATACCTGACTGAAGGTCAATTTTCTCCTCCAGGTTGTTTACTTTACTGCTACTTTTCCATACGTCGTACTTTTTATCCTAATGATCCGCGGGGCCACTCTGGATGGTTCGTTACAAGGTGTAGAGTTTTACCTCGAACCAGATATCGAAAAGCTGAAGG